AGACTAAAACTTTCGGCGGAAAGAAAACTTTCGAATAGTAAGGTTGTTCAACTATTCATTGCACCTTCTATATTTACGAAATAGTTCACACAGAGAAATTTTAATAATAAAGTACCGAACACGAAAATTTAGTACCGAACACGAAAGTATAGTACCGAACACGAAACTACACTGATGGCAATACACTTGAAGCACACGACTATCACACGCGGTCCCGAGATGAATATATTTCCGATAAAATATACTTCCGATTTGATTATCCTCCTAGGGGTTGAGCTCTAGCTCAACCCCTACGGCTGCGCGACTTCGACTGACCAAAGTACCGAAAGTTTCGAGCCCTCGAGGTCTCCAACCTTTTCCTTGTTCTTCTCGAAAACAAAAGAGTGGCTTCGATTTCCAAAATATCCCTACATTTCGGGTTTCCCCGCGGTGAAAGCGGTACAAGCTCACAAAAGAAAATATGTTCATTGAACTGAAAACTAATTGGACGTATTTCTATCAAACAGAACTATGTGCATTAAGACATGAGCCCTGAGACCCATAAGAATATATACATAACAGGGCTCATGTCATATTGCTTATAGCTCCGTTTGATAGAAATACGTCCAATTATTACAATAATTAATGAGGGTTTTTGGATTTCCCGGATTATTTCATCTCTCACTTTTCACAACTTTCCTTTTTTTGCTGAAAAGTAGTGAGGGTTCGTCCATGAATCACATAGCCCATTTTCCCCGACCTTTGACCTCTCCTCCTTTTGCCCTAGGTGTCATTAACCTCTAGACACCCCCCTCCCCCCCTCGAAAAATTTGTCATTTCAAGCGTGCCTCCCTTTTTTGCGTAGGTGTGGGTCGTCGCGAACCCTTGCCACGGGCGTACCACATACGAATTCAAGTGTTTAAATGACTCAAAAATAACATAAATCACATAGGAAAAATCTAGAATCCACTCCTCCTTCACGGCATTTCTTGATTGCAATCGACTCGGCTTGAATTCTGCCGTGCTAAGGAAGAACGTCATATGAACATTCGAGAATTGCCGAATTTTCCTCGATAAAGCATGTATTTTTTACGACATCCATGCATATTTGGACCGCGTTTATTTAACAGAAAGGAACCAAGCCACATCAGCTATTGCCAAATTTAAGGGGGAAATTTAATTTTTTACGAGAGAACGTTTGTGCGGATTCCTTTGAAAATTTTAAGGAATTCGCCTTGTACTCCGGAAAAAATTCACTGAAATTTGCACTAAAATCCGCAAAACCGTTTTTATGGGAAAAATTAAAATGCCTGATTAAATTTGGCAATAGCTGATGTGGCTTGGTTCCTTTCTGTTTAACGCGGTCCATTTTTTTTTCCTTTACAATTTCAGATATATAGATTAAATTGCGTACAAAATCGTCTGAAGATTTGGGGGAAAATATTCACAATTTCCCCACTTAATGGGCCAGTTGCGCTGGTCACAGAATCGCGTTTTGATGCTTGATTCTTGTAGATCAGCTATAATAATAGTAAGATCCGTCCAAACAGCATCTTTCTTCGTTCAATATTAATCGAGATATCGTCTTTTGAAAAGACAGGTTTTGGATGTCATCCATCGCGGTGGTGACACCCTTGGTTTTTTTCACCTTGCTTTCATCCAAGTATCACGCTTAGTAACCAATTCATCGCTGACTGATAAAAGCGAGGTGGAAGAAACGAAGGGTGTCACTACCGCGGTGGATGACGTCAAATTCCAGCTTTCTAGAAGGCGATATCTCGGTTAATATTGAACGTCGAAAGTTGCTGTTAGGACCGATATTATTAATTTTAGGTGAACCGCAATAATCAAGCAACAAAACATGATTCTGTAACCAGCGCAACTGAGCCAACACTGGAAAAAACACACATTGGATCTAGAGTCCAGACCCTTGAAAACATTGACAAGAACAAATACTCTTGATTCAATCGGATTTTTGCTTGAATCAATAGGAAATCCGCTTAAGTTAAGAGGCTTGCTTCTTGATTTAAGCTAAATTCTAATTGAATCAAGAGTACTTTTTCTTGTCGATGTTTTTAAGAGTCTGGACTCTAGATCCACTGTGTTTTTTTTTCCAGTGAATCCGGTTTTTGTTTAAAGAAATTTGGCAACGTCTGAAGGCGCATACGGCGTTCTTCCTTAGCACAACAGAATTAGACACCAGGACTTGGATTTAATGTGCTATTGTCATGTTGCCTGGATTGAGCTTTGTGAAATCCTCTCGGACCCACGCATCCGATGCGTCTCAATCAAGATGATCAGGATGCATTTCCCCGAAAGGGCAATTGCGCCGACACGAATGCTCGAATGCACCATGCGATGACCGCCTCGATGAAGAGATGCTTTCACCTATAGCCATTCATCTCATCCTCATCTCGTACGCAGCATCCTGGGCTCCCGCCTTGCCAGATCGTCATAGACGTCGACCGTCATTTCGTCGCTCTTTTGACGTATGGGCGTATAACAATTTCCGCATGAGTCTTGGAAGCATGGATTTGTATGGAAAATAAAGCTCACGTGGAAATTGAGATGTGTCTTTTCGTCGGAGGAGCGACGATTTGATGCGTGACAATGTCTTGATTCGTCGATCCTTTGATGGAGGGACGTAAGCTCGTTTCAAGGTTGGAAAATTGATCAAGGAATTCGATTTTTTATAGAAATATGACCGGCAATGGCCTGATCATTGCAATTGATCGACAAAGTTAAAGATAAAGAAGACTAAGAAAAAATATAGCGATCCTATTGATTGAAACGGCCGATTATTGAAGACTGCGGTCCGCTGTCTAAGACAGGGAAAAAGTAGGATTCGCCAGGGAATGACAAAATGAACGTATTTCTACCAAACGGAACTATGTGCATTAAGACATGAGTCCTGAGACACATAAGTGTATGCGCATTACAGGGCTCACGGCATAAATTCAGGGTTCCCAGCGATCTGGAAAACCTGGAAAAGTCAGGGGGAAAAAATGGCCCGGAAAACATGGAAAAGGCAGGGAATTTGCTTCAAAAGTCTGGAATTTTTTCAAGTACTGAGAAAAAAATTTAATAAGTAAACAAAGAAAATAAAATAATTAAAATTGAAATTGCAATTCCTTCGTTGTATTTTGAATTTTCCGCCAACTCATCCTCTTTATCGGCATTCGGAACGAATCGGAACTACTCGGAAGTGTTCGGTGGCTCCTCCTGCAGGTCAGCCATAATGATGGGGGCATCTTGTGCGACCGGTTGCGTCTAATGAAAAAAGAGATCGCAGGAGCTAGCCACTCCTCTTTATCCTCTTCGACAGAGGCGTAGGAAGGGGGGGGGGCCTAGAATTGGAAATAGTATCATCTGCCCCCCCCCAGAAATTCTGGATGTTGCAAAAAGACCTTCTTCAACGGTAAGTCTCTGTCGCCGTAGCCCGTGAGAGGATGCCTATGAATAGAAAAACCTGTTGAATGCAACAATTTCAAAGTATTTTAACCTTAAAATGTAAAAAACTGGGTGATTTTTAGGCAGAAATTGCAGGAAGATTAGCGCCACAAGTGCCTCGAGATGCGCTCAAGTAGAGTTAACATTTCAAAAATTTTCCGGAGGAGGCCCCCCGAAGTCCCCCCCTGAGCTGGGGGTTATTCCATACCCCCCGGTGGTGGGAGGCCAGGTCCCCCCCTAGCAAAATGACCTAGCTACGCCTATGCTCTTCGATCGGATAACCCTCAATCTTCAATGTAAAAGTTTCAAGTACACTCACTAGGATATCTTGCGCTTAGCTGAGAACTATGTCTGCATGCTAAGGTAGAGGTTATTTTTTTGTAACTCTGCCTTTTTTCCCTGGACAACACGCTCATTTAAAAAAATATATATGCATTTCTCAGTTTTTTTAAGAATTGTTCTTAATAGTCTGCAGAACGAAGACTGCAGGTTGGATTATTTTTTAAAAGAATCTGTTCAGTGCTTTTTTCCTTAGCATAGCAGCAATACCATGATGGGATTTATTTTTCAAATCCAATACTACTATGAATAAATGAAACAAACTGAAAAATCATTTGCTTTCATCAATTCATGTATCGTTGAAGAAGGCGTTTATATTTCGCCAATTTTTTTTTCCAACACATTTTAAGTTTTTTTGTGATTTCATTCGTTTTATGATACTATCCTAGCCTGGTTCTCATAAAAAAAAGCTGAACCAGATCAAAAATTGATAAAAATAGAGGAGTTTTTACAAAAGCCGAAAAATGTGCGCGCTGTCTCTTTTAGGGCAAATTATTTGAGTTTTTTCCGCGGAAAAAGGCCTGGAAAAATTTTCGTTTTGGCCTGGAAAACCTGGAAAAGTCAGGGAATTTTTTTTCCAAAATTGGCTGGGAACCCTGTTTAAGAAGGCGTTTATATTTCGCCAATTTTTTTTTTCCAACACATTTTAAGTTTTTTTGTGATTTCATTCGTGTTATGATACTATCCTAGCCTAATTCTCATAAAAAAAAAAAGCTGAACCAGATCAAAAATTGATAAAAATAGAGGAGTTTTTACAAAAACCGAAAAATGTGCGCGCTGTCTCTTTTAGGGCAAATTATTTGAGTTTTTTCCCGCGGAAAAAGGCCTGGAAAAATTTTCGTTTTGGCCCGGAAAACCTGGAAAAGTCAGGGATTTTTTTTTCCAAAATTGGCTGGGAACCCTGAAATTAATTTTTGACTCTAATTGTAATTTTTGGACCTTCTTGACTTTGTTTTCCCCGCAAAATGATTTGGACCCAGCACCATTTGGACGTATTTCTATCAAACGAAAGTATGTGCATTATGACGTGATCCCTGTTATGCATATATTCTTATGGGTCTCAGAGCTCATGTCTAAATGCACATAGTTCCGTTTGACAGAAATACGTCCATTTCTCCACCTTGTTACATACAGTTTGGGCCACTTCCTAGTGTTTTATTATCTCATATAAAATTTAACTGGTCACATTAGAAATTTCTCATTTACTATTCTGATGACTTGTATGATTTCAGCATTTATCCTTCGCAACAAGACCCGGGCATTGTACAGATCCCGATCGGGAACAACACTGGCTCGCTGCCCGATTTAACTAGTTTCCACTTTCCGTCGCCTCTTCCAACTCCTCTGGATCAAGATGATCAGCATAGTGGCTCCACGTACAGCAATGTAAGTCACCTCAACATCGTAGCTCCGCAAAGATTCTGGAAGGTTTTTAAGAGAGTTTTAAGCGTGGTGTCTAGAATGGGGAAAACTGGGATTCATCAGGGAATGAAAATTTACAGGGAAAATCTGGAAATCTGTTCCAGAAACCGGGAATCTCTTCTTCTACCGCTTAGGGATTATTTCGTTCTCAAATTTGGCGGTCGAGTACCTGACTGCCAACATAATCAAGTAATCAAAATCGTCAAAATATTGGAGAAGCTTTCATTGGCCACGTAACATGAACATCAAGATCGCCTTTTTTTTTTTTTTTTTTTTTTTGATGAAGGGAAAAATTTGCCACAGTGCCTCCATCATGAGGGTCGCCGAAACGCCTCCCATGAAAGGGGCCCATCAAATACCGGGACGGCAAGGGCCATCAGCTGGTGAAGAGCTGCCGAAGCGATCCCTAACCGACCTGACCGCTGTGAGATGGAAAAACCAGGTTATGTGAGGTTGGAGCACGCCGCCGTGTTCCGTACCCACAGGATCGCTTTTGGAATTAAAATTTTGAATGTGCGCCAAAGAATTGGCGAAAAGATGGATTAAAATCGATATTTGTGTATGGAACTCTGGAGAATTGTGTTCTTTTTCCCCAGAAAATCCTGAGGAAGTGGTAGAAAACTTTGGTTTTTCATCGAGGAATGAGCTCCTGAAAATCAGGGGAAAATCAGAGAACGAGCCTGGTCAAGAATTCTAGACACCATGGTTTTAAGGCCTTCATGAGTGATAGTTAATTGATGTGGAATCACTAATTCAGTGCTTAGTAGAGGGACGCCCCCTCAAAAGAAGTCCCTGAATACATGGAGAAATTTTGTTTAGAGGAGCAAATCTTGTTACGTCGTACTAAGAGATCAGTTTTCAAGTTTTCATCCAAAAATGTATTCTCTCTGAAAAGTAAAGTATAAAATAAAATCAGCAGAATCCCAGACTGCGGTATAGGTCTCTCTAAGTTCACCATCAAAATACATTTAATGAATATTTTGTACTTTTCTATTACAGAGGAGGCTCTAAAATTTAGTCTTGCACCTTATAAATCAATATCTATCAGATTCTTTTACTCGCTTGCAATCTTTAAAATCCTATCCTATGAAGAGTCTTTTCAATCATTCTGACAAAACTGGTACATCTCCTTTGATCATAAACTTGGACAAAAAACTGCACTGATCTCGTCCTTGAATTTCAACCTAAAATTTAAGTCAGAAGGATTTTTCTTCATTCACGTTTTACTAAATCTTAATTGTTACGTATTTTAGAGTCCACAAGGAACAAGTACGTCTACGTTGTCACCGACATCGATACCCACGCGAGTTCCTGGCCGGTTCTCATTCCAGAGTTCACCACCGCATGAGTCACCTGGACCGCCACAGTACAGCCCTGTCAGCCCACAAAGTCCCCTAACACCAGTGAGTAGACTTATTTTCTTGCTAGGATTCTTTGTGTATTACCCTCCCCATCACAGCCTCTCAGAGGATTACTGCAAGGAGGTTTAAACAAAGAGGAACCAAATTCACTTCAAGTAAAATTATTTGCACAACCTGTAACCAAAGAGTGGCTCTAATCTGAAGACATTGATAACATTCAGAATTAGGGAATAGCTTAATTTTTCTCCTCCACAAGAATTTTTTTATTTTACCTATAATTTTTTCTAGTTTTATGATTATCTAAGTTATTAATTCCTTTTGAGTATGTATGCAACCTAGTGAAGATTAGATCCCATCGAAGGAACTATTAGAATGCACCATCTTAAATAAACTTTTTAGTTTTAGAGTTTAGTCCAACACTAAAGTTTCCGATTTTTCTCTGTAAAAATACACATTTTTTGTCGAGTGAAAGAATCTCAGATTAGGACAAAAATAGAGAAGAATTATCTCATAAAAAGTTAGTTTGGTTCCTTGAGAAGAATTTTCTCTTATCGGACTAAAATATGAAAAAGCATGAAACAATTGACTGTTGACAAAAAGTTATTATGAACACATTGATAGTTAAACTGTCAAAATCACAGATCTCAATTGCAGAGTTGGAAAATTTCTGCTCATAATTCATTTTTTAAAAAAATATTCCCAGAAATTTTTGTGCAAAATTTTTAGAGAATATTGTCGAAAGAGTGAAAAAAAAATCTTACAAAATATTTGATGTGTAGAAACAGTGACAAAATCCTCCTCACCAAGTAAAATGTGACCAAACTTTGCAAATTGAGGTACGCAGTATAGTACTTTTATCATTGATATTCTATCTTTGGCAGTAGAAAAACAAAAATTTTATATTGCGATGTTGCAAGTGTCCTCTCATGTTTTATTTTTCAAAAGAAAAATTTAACATCAGTTTCTATTGAATTTTCTCGGTTCTTTGAATTTTCTTGGATCATTGAAAAAAAGAAACAAAAAAATTGCAAGAAAGCACTTTAATTTAGTTTTCTTTGAAAGAAAAAAACGTAGCTGGAGATTTTTAAACGTTACAATTGAGTCATGCATTTTTCTCATTTAGCCATCGATGTGTGGGAATGTCAGTTAATTGGTATTCAGAAATTGGTATACTTTCCTAATGAAGTACCATTACCCAATTAAAAAGTGAACTTTCTCGGATGCTAATGAATTTTCACTCAAGAATAGACACCCCTAGTCAGCACTTTTCCTCCATACACTTATCTAAAAGTCTAAGACAAGGAAAGTGCTTCCTCAAACTGATATTCATTGGTGCATGTATATATGTTGGATGTTCCCATGTTTTATAGAGTGTAGATTAATAGAGAGAGGCAGGAAGTCACTGATAAGGGCAAATTTATGCCCTGAAGTCTCAGCTGTCTCTTCCAAACTTTATGCTTTTGTACTATACAAATCTCCGAGTCTATCATTATGAATGAACAATCTCTCAAATATGTGTTTTCACACCTTAATAAAAAGGAATCTTTAACCCTTCCAAAGCTTTTTTTTAAATATTCAATGTTCTTTAAGATTCATTAAAAGGTAAAAAGTTAGGTTCATTTCTAAAACTTGGCTGAAAATTTTCATTAGAAAAACGAAAAATTTGAAACTGTGTACCCAGATGTATCTACTGAGCCAAGAAACTCATTTCAAAGTATGATTAAGCATTTTTTCACTAAGTTTCACACAGCTTTGAATTTGAAGTAGGTTTGTCAATTTAAAATGAAGATGTGAAGTTGTAAGTTTTTACACTAATTATTGGTAACCTCTCAAAACGAGCTCCAAGAGTTTTCTGTTCGAGTTCATTCAATTGGACCTTTTTGAGTGATCTTTCTTTTACTGACTTCCTGTGTCTCTTATCAAATTAATATGGGATTAACATAGATTTTAGAATAGCGAAGCTAATTGAAAATATAGTTCTAACAGAGTGGCTTATTCTAATCAGGACATTGCTCTTGATGACCAATTCTAACATTAAGTAATACAAGTTCCTGTCTTCTACAGTGCTATTTTTGATCTTGTTCTCCGCTCTTCCTTTTAAAAATCTCCTTGCAAAAACCTTTGCACTCATGTGAAGAAAAAGATCCGAAACCTACTGGAAGTAGCTATCAATATTTTATGAAAAAATCATTTGCTAAAAAATCCGATCTGAACTGCAATCAAAAATTAATTAATTTCGAAGTTTGATGACCGTTTTTTAGTCGGCCAGTTAAGCTTGTCACAGAAAAGGTTTGATAATTAAAGCTCATTGATTAGCAAAAAATAATAAAACCTGTCTAAAACACGACGTCTAAACCTATGAGCCCTTGCATGAAATTCTTCCTCCTGTAGACAAATATCTATCCAATGTTAGTTGCTAGTATTAGAGCATTGCCTAGCATTGACTAGAAAGTAAGTGATTATATAGTTGAGTAGATGAAGAAATCTAGTGCAGATTTGAGTCCTTGAATCTATCATATTTGAAAGCACCAAGGAAAAGTAGGTAATTAACTTCCACTATTTTTAATCCATTATATCGATGGCGAAAGGCTAAGGTCGAAAAATGTGTATCTGAGATTGCACCATTGTAAGTCCCGGCTCATTTTTTTTTTTTTTTTTTTTTTTTTTTTTTAAGGAAAACTAACCAATAGTTTCTTCTGAAATTTTTCGTGAGTTTCCTTCGAGCATTCAAATAATAAAAATCCACAAAATTGCAAGAAAAATGTTGATTAGTTTTCCTCTAAGAAAATTAAACAAAATTGGAGATTTTTAAATGGTGCAATTGAGATGCGCATTTTTTGCATTTGGCCATCCATATATTAAGAGGTTTTGTCAGACTTCAGCCCCATGCTGTAATTAATTCATTTAATTAGAAAAAGCACAAACTCAGTTTAAGTAAACAAGATTTATAGGCGATTTTTATCAAGCTGAAGCGTTGAGGTCAGAAGAAAATTTTAAATATTTCTTTCAATAGAGTATTTAATGTGGAGGCTTTCGAGATAAAGCTGTTTTAGACAGCCATATGTTCATAACATGTGTCTAGTTGTAGAATTGCAAGGAGAATGTGGTGTGCCATGTGTGTAACCGTACTACTGTTTTACTGAACTACCAAATTTTGTGTGTATTAGTGTACCTATTTGTAGCTGTTGTTTGTGTAGTGTTGATTGCTTGCTATGTGTTGTCATTTTTCCAGAACCATCTTTCTGTGCCTTCACATGTCAACTCTAGGTTCCTACAAAACAGGAAGGTACGTATCTCTGTGACACTTACTTTGCTCTCCCTGAATATTGACTCATTATTGAATTTTAATTGGTAAAAACTATCAATATCCCACTGTCAGGTTAGGAAAAGGAATGATTTTTTATTAGGATAAAAGGAAAGAGTTTAACAGGAGCGCAACAAGTCACATTAAGGAAACCAATGAGTTGGGAGTTGTTTTGCTAGTTGTAAATTTTCTCCTGTCAAAAATTTAAAGTTGAGGAAAAATAATTCAACTTGCAGATAGTTATTAAACTTTGTCTCCAACATCAAGTCTTTCTAGAGGAATAAAACCTCAAACCTCCTTAACTGGATTCTAACTTGATTCAACTATTTCCTATAATTTGATCCAGATGTAGTATTATTAGCATGTATAAACACTAGCTTTGAGCGCAGAGTTTTATTCAAGGTTTTCGATCATGTGAGTTTCCGAATCTTTCAAAATTTTCAAACATTTTAGAGCGGGTTTAAATGAAATTCAGGTTCTTTTAATTTCACTAGGAATCCAAAAATTATCCCCATCATCACAAAAATGGAATCTCAGGTTTGCTAATTTTCATATAATTTATCAAGTAACGTGCATGCTCTTTTTCATTTTATTCTAATTTTTTGTTCGTCCTGTTTGTTGAAATATTAGATTCCTCAAGTTCAGCTTGAAAGTCCTTGAAATCTCCTCTCTAAAATATCCTAATTATGAGACGAAAACGAAGGTTGTATGATCAACGTGGTTTTGACTTCAGTGCTCTGAGTTACACGGAAAATAGTAGACAGAGGAATAATTTTTAAGGAGGAATCGCAATTTCAGCTAATTGAACGATTAATACCTTAAGAAAAAAGGTTAAAATGTTTCAGACATTTTTTTTATCTTAAGTTTTACGTGTACAAACTGTTGATGTGAAAAGTCAGGGAATTTGTATTTTTTTCGTCACTAGAAAAATCTGGAAAAGTTGGGGAATTCTTCCCTCCAGTCTGTAAACAGTCTGAACATGTTCGAACTGTTACCTCAAACAATTCACATTTCTTTTCGTTGTCCATCTGAAGTAAGGGTGTGTCTCAATTTCCTCAAGAGCCCTGTTCTTCCATATAGCTCCATGCTTTTCAGGGCTCACATGGTAATAGAGATACGCCCTTACGTCAAAGAATCGGCATCCTGTGCATTGTTTGATATCTCTAATTGATTCACGATGATTTACGATGTTACAGCAAAGCATAACAATGGACGGAAGCCTAGACTCAAAAGCACCCAACAACTATGGGCAAGCGTCGCCGGGGCAAGGGCAGCAGGGAGGAGGCGGACAGGCTCCGAACCAGGGCCAAGGCAACCCGCAGCAGTTTGTCTACCCGCAAATACCATCACCTCAACACTCGCAGCAGCAGTCCCAGTGCTCCGTGAGTGTCAGTCCGCTAAACATTTCCAACCCCCAAAATATACCTGTCGTAAGTATGCACTGGCCTCAGTTTGCTAGCATGCGACCTTCCGTTTAGATCTAGTAGGTGTTCTAGAGTAGCCCTGGTGTCGAGTAGATGAGAAAACCAAGTCACGATCGATTTTAATCGCTAAAAGAAAATCACAGGGTTCTATGCTATCTGGAAAACCTGGAAAGTCAGGGAATATACGCCAACCTAGAAAAGTCAGAAAATTTTGCAAGTAACTTTTTTGCTCCTTAACTTCAGTCAGTGCCACATAAGAGAGTGCTAATGTCTTCTGAAAACCTCACTTTAACTTAAGTCTCCATCAGAGGAAATTTTGTCCAAATTTTAGCAGTAGGTAGCCAGTGTAATTAAGGATAACAAATCTAAGTGGAAGTTTTGTTTGAAAGTCTGGAAAAGTCATAGAATTCGGAAATGTTGGAGTCAGGGTAAAGCAAAAGACAGTTAGGAAAGTCAAGGAATTGGAAAATGAAGAAATTATGGAAACTCTGAATGTATCATCAAATACTAATGTATTCAAACGATGAGCGTATTCTATCCAAGGAGTCAACAATTATAATCCCTTAGCAATGCAAAAATTGTTTTTTCGCCATCAGGCCTTAAAGTACAATTCAGCAAGTTTAAAATCGCGTGGTTTCCTTTGCGTTGCGCACTCTTTTCGATTCTAACTGCCCATGATACATTTTAGACCCTTTTTCAGGGAGTATCCAAAATGCGGGAGGGATTTTAAATTGAAACTTAACTGGACACCCGCGGAAATTAAACATGTAGCAAATAGAGGATGGTGTTTTGATAGTATAATGCACCATTGTTTAAATAAAACTATCAGATTGAAAAGGTTTATTCTCATATATTATGAACCGTAGTTGTAATTAGTCATAATCTCTTATTGAGAGAAAAAATCTGAATCTGCCACTTGCGTAGTTCTAGAAATCAGTGTCAGCATGAGTCCTCAGTTATTGTCCATTGTTCAGAGCTGCCCACTATCTCTATTAGTTGCACTTTATTAGACTCTCTCTTCTCTTGTTGAATTCAATTTTAATTTAAATGCAGTCATCGTTACTGAATCTCTATTTTCATTTGTAGATCGTGTTCTTTCTTAGCAACAAAAACTTTGTTGGGGCACCCTCAAGTCAAGATTCACAACATTTAAATTGTTCCTATAATATGAGGGCCAGTACAAAACTTGATTCATGTTTTTTTTTCCTTGTTAGTTCAACCCACTGATGGTAACTTTTAATCATTCACTAAGTCTCTCTTTGTCAGAAACATCTTTTTCATTGATTTGACTTTTTCTCGTTTTATTTTACACTTTACAATTTTTAACAAGCCAGTTATGAAATTTTATCACTCGTTATTCTACTTCTTTTAGTTCCATATTATTTTTTTTTTTTCTTCTTCAATGAATGATGCCCTTACTGGTCATAGCGTCTGCTTTCTCTTTCACGTAGAACAAATTTCTCCAAGTTTGCAAAGAGTATCATCAATCAGTGAGCAAAGAAAAATTTCTCTTTATGGCTATACATAACCAATAATTTGTGTGATAGTGAAGAATAAACGCGAAAAAATATTGTTTGAAGTTCAAAATCGAGTACTTTGAGTTTTCATTCAAATTTGCCCTGTAGAGAAAGAGATAAAAAGGCATTTGAAAGTGTCCCTTCTATCCCGGCTTTGTTTCCGATTGTGAGTTGCTTCTACTTTTTACATATTAATCCTGTGAAAAAGTTAAAAACATAATCAAAAGAGTGGCAGATTTCAACAACTGATTTACCTAGAATATTTATCATTTCGTTTCATTTCATATCATTTCATTTATTTCTCTCTTCCTCATAGAATCCTGGAAATTCTTTAGGATCGTATAGAAATGCTCAATGTAGGAGTCCTCAAAATTCCCCAGGACCCTGTCTTACTGTTAAGGTAATTATTTTTTTCTTTTCAAAAAACATCTGAGGTTCAATTCAAAGTTGATTATTTGAAAAATAAAAAGACTGAAATAAGTCATCATAATTTTCCTGCGCTTTAATGAGCAAATTTCTGCTCGTTTAAGAAGAAAATTTTGAATCCTATACAACTTCCTAGATTATTTCATAAAAATTCCCCTAATTATCTGTGCATGCTGCATGATTTAGGTATGCTTATCAAAATTGTCCAATTTAAAATGTAGCACTAGCATTGTAATCTGTTCACTTCATGTGATACTTGCCATTTGTTTTAAAGGAAATTTCATTTCAATCGACCATTCTTATGATTACCTTAGGGTGGCTGAGAAGCTAGATGTTGTACAGGAAAAAATTTTGAAGAGGGATCATGTATGAGAAAGCTTAAATTCCTTGTGCAGTGGTCCATTGTCAAAGGATTACAAATTAAACATTGGTCACCATTGCTTGGCCTTGGCCAACATTGGCTGGCCAATAAGGGACATTTCCCTATTCTCGATCACTCGCTGTAACAGATGTAAAAATCACAAATTGAGCCTAGAGCAAACATCTCAGTTTTTAAAACCGACAAATTCCATTTTAAAAATGTCTCATGATGATCAAATCCAATCCGTTAAATCAGGCGTGTTGGGAGGAAATAACAGGAAAATGACATGTCTTCAGCTTAAAATGTATTCTTCTGTGTTCTAATGAACTGAATTTTTTTTTTAATCGAAGATTGCATCTAGTTCACAAGTTACTTTTGTTTGAAGCCTTAAAAGTTCAATAGCCCTTTTTATTATTTTTTACCTCTTTTGTCAACAATCACAGGCTAAATTATGGATATCAGGACGATTTTCAAAGTCCGTCTCATCTTTTTACATCTTATTATGTCCAATGCAACTTATTTGGAGGTGATCTCTCATGATCCGTTGGATAGTTGGGTGGACCATAATCTAGACTCTCAAATATTTGTTTTGGATGTATGACTTATCCCAAACTAATGTCCACCTTACGCTTAAACAGACTGTATTGCTTCTTTAGTGAACTGATCATTCTTTACAAACTGATTGCGGTAGACGCACAAGTTGTAAAGGTAGTATTGAGGTCTTTGTATTGAGACTCCCAGTTTTCTGGGTTTTTAACGCATGTTAGCTACATTTCCAACTTATTGTGATCATTTTTCGATCTAAATATGTGAATTTTTTTTGGTAATATCTAAACGTAATATAATTTGTGTCCTTTAGTATGGGCGCGACAGCAACAGCCCAACGAGTAGTAATCCTCAGAGTCCTGCATCACCTTCCAACTCAATCGCGGCTAGCCCGTTCTCAACGTCAGGTAGTTACTTCATAAGTCAAGATCAAACGAACGCTCTCCAACAGACGTTCCAACAGTTCACTGTGGTAAGTGCTGTGTTTCATCATTCATAGACTTATTAAATTTTTTCATCGGAGAAAATTCCTGGGTAAAATAGATTCAGGGCCAATATAACTTCTGCCCAAGAAACAGGTTCATAGAATTAGCTGATGATGTACAGTCAATCCTCACTAAGCAGGAGTGCACTAAAATTGCTGGTTCATTTCTAATTAACAGGGTTTTGGAGCCTAGTATACTACCTATTATCCTGTTTCGTAATCTCTATTTTGTGCTTAAGATACGTCAGTTTACTGAATACTTTATGTAGACTTTCTTAGCATTGCGTTCAAGGGCAAAAAAATGGGACCAGACCATTTTTATGAGTTCGCAGAGGTTCTGATCTAATAAAGTTTGACTGTCTCTGAAGGATTCAAGAGTTATCTCGACACATCAAAAATGAAAGTGAATACTTTCTTTTGTCTGGCTTTTCCTTAAAACCCATTCTTCTTCTACTTGTTTTAAGTGCTATTTTTCTCTCAAAATGCAGACAGTACTTTGATCCACGCTAATTTTTTCCTCCGCACCTGAAAATTCTCCGTAGTCTCAAAAGAATTTGCATTTCCTTCCGTCAGGAAACACAGTGCATTAGGATGCATTTATCACCTACAGTCCTTCATGTTGTGTTAACTCTTAAAATTTTTACGCCAAGATTGTAATATACTTTAAGATTCCATGAAAAATTAAGGAATACACAAAGATTGTGAAAACTTTCCAAATTATATTTTCGTGCGAAAAAGACTGTATCTAGAAACTTCCTCAAACGTGAATAGGCACCCTACCTACATCTGTTGCACATAACATTCACCCTCACATGTTTGCAGTTTTTCATTGTATTTTGATCATATTTCATTTTTTTTTTTTTCACTTTTGCTTCATAGCAAGGAGTGGTGAGTTGTCTGTCTTTTATTCGTCGTTTGCTTTTGACTGTTAATTCAATGTACTCACTTTCAAGAAACAGTGAGTGAGAGAGAGAGAGAGAGAGAGAGAAGTAAAGATCATTGTTAAATCTGTCGCTGTATTCCTACCTTTGAATGTTTCGGGTTGGAGATTTTACCACAAAGGTTGTCCAACTTTGACTGTCGTAACGAATTTGAAGAGGTCCTAAATCGAGATATTGGTGTTTACAATATTAACATTGGCTATAGGTTAAATGACAGAAATACAAGTAGGCTAAATGGCAAGAATACAAATGATGTAACTTGTATAATCCAATTTCTATTTGAACTGTGTTGAAAATACTTGTTAATATCTCCTTCAGGAGTTAATTTCTGAATCGTTTTCTACGCAAAATTTTGAAGAGGAAACATGCGACTTTTTCTGCTAGTTCAGACCTTGTTAACTTGCTCTCAACACAACACTGACATTCCATCATTGCTTTCATGACAACTGTCAAATTAATCATACCTTTATTATGAATTTGTTTAAAACACATTGATCAAAGTTTGATCTTGTCACTTTTGGTCGTTGTAAACCTGCTGAATTCAGAAAGTTTCTGTAATGTTCAATGTTTCCGGGGTCTGTATTTGCTTTCGGCGGGAGATCTTTTCCATTTTTAAACACTTGAACAAAATTGTTGAGTTTGTTTGCTTTGATTTTAACGCGGCTCAGGATTGGAGTCAACTATTGCACACTCTAGTGGAGGCCAATCCGTCTGAGTGGATATCCCAGCTTCAGGTACTCACACCTGTGACCGCAGATTCATTTTCCACTGGCGATCCTCTCTGTCTTCACGAAGAGTTATTCAAATTTGAATTTTGTGAGAGATTTTGTGTCATGTCGTGGAAAAAAACCAAATTGAATGCTTTGGTACACCAACAGTGTCAGATTGTGCGTTACCACTGAAAGTAAAATTGAAACCATTGTTGATTCAGTGGACCTAAAACTGATACGCCAGATGCGAAGATCAAAATAGATACAGAAGCCAAGAGCCCCCTAGCTACATCAAAAATTGATAAAGGAAACTTGTTTATTTCTCCTGTTTAGTACAGAATTCCCAAACTGAGTAGGACATTGAGCATCGTTGCTAGATAGTGCTAAGAAAGCAGCACTTTTCCCCTATTTGAACCCACATCAAGTATCCACATTTTGTTGCATAATTTGGCAACTTTGACATTGAGGATCCAGTGCCTTTTGTTTGTTATGTGATTCGTCTTTTTTAATTGTTGAATAGCTTTGTACTATTTTGGTTTGCATGCTCTTTGTTGTTTGTTTCTATCATTGAATGGTTCACCATTTTTAAAATCGTAATTACCCTCTATTCACTCACAGTTCAAACTTTTTTTTTTGCCCTTCGTTCTTTTTGGTAATCCTTTGCTGATAGAATTTTGTTTGCTATGAAGCAAATTTGTTTGAATGTTCGACTGGTTTTGGCCAGTTGGTTGTGTTTAGCTCTATTATCTTTCATTTATCTGTCTGCCTGAAGTATGTTGGGAACAAAAAAAAAAAACAAAAAAACAAAAAGAAAAAAGTTAAGTTTCCTTTGGGCAGCCCACACTATTAGAGAAGCTCATGGAAGAGATTAGATGTAAAGGAGAACATAAACTATAAGCTCTTCCAACTGAACCTCTTTTTTTTTCTTTTCTTTTTTTTTAACAACATACCGTAATCATTTTCAGCCTTTCATGTTGATTGTATTTTTCAATCCTGGATCTTCATATTTTTAATAAATGTTTCTTATATTCCCGATAAACAAGTGAATGGATGATCATCAGTTTTTCATGTTTTGCCTTCTTTTCGTTTTCTCCTCTCAATATTTTTTTTTGAAATTTGTAATTTTTCATATTTTGTTTTGCAGATGGACAGTCCTGTATCAAATACTGTAGATTACATAGGATCTCCAAATAATGCTTCTTATCATCTGGTATGCACTGATTTCTAAAATGTTTAAAATTCTAAGTATCATTACGAGAATCTTCTGGTTGTTGTTACATTAAAAATCCTCTAATCAAATCCTTTCATTATTTGGACGTATTTCTATCAAACGGAACTAAGCGCCAATTCGAGTTCCTTTTAAGGAATTTAAAATCCCGGATAGCGCGATCTGTCAAACGGACCTAAGCGCCATGGAAAAGCATTGCGAGTAGAGGACGGAATAAGCCAGACGCCCGATTTCGCCGCCAATCCAAGCCCCCCTCTACCTTCCTCACCCTGTGGCGCTTAGGTCCATTTAACAGAAATACGTCCATTTTACAGTTATTAAAGGTAAATGACCGCATTTAAAAGTACTGTAATGGTCTTGTTTGCGCTATCACTCCATTCCATAGAACTTAACTCATTAGAATTTCTGGCTCATTTAAAACATATAATTAGAGCAGAGACATTGTTTAAAGAAAAACGAACACAAAATATCTCAAATTTTTATCTTTATTTTAAGGTTTTTCTTATTAGAGCAAATAGAGGACAGAAAATCATCAAAGGAGGAAGATTAAAATCTTTGCCAATCACAGTGTCCGCAGCTTCCCTAGTACACTGAAAACCTAACTTTTTTCAGAGGGAAATTTTTTTTTTATGCATTTACGTCCCTATACATTCAAGTAAGGTCTGGAAACTTTTGACCTCTCGAATTACGCAGGTAAAAAATTTCCCAGTCAACGCCTGTAAAATTAGATTGATTTTTCTCATTATGTACAGAAAGTTTTGAGTAGAAAAGAATTCTGGATCGGCTATCCATAGCATCTCTGTTATGCATCTCCATTTTGTATCCGTGGTGGGGAAAAGTCAAGTTTTGCCTCATTTACCCTGATGCAATTGATTTCCAGGCATATTTTTCTCACAACTCCTCATTTAAAATTGATTTGTTTTGCAGAACGATGATGGGTGCAGCGGTGAACTGAGTGCAGATCCTGGTTACTTCAGCACATCACCGACACACTACAATCGACAAATGAACAGCTCACACACGACGCCAAATACACCCTCTAGTATTCCTGATATCGTATTAACAGGTACTTAAACCCTTTCTTTTATAAATATGTGAAATCCATTCCAGTTACGATGATTTTGAAGCATCTGCTTTAAGTCGCGACATGCAAGTTTTATTCATGCACAAAATACGCACCGAGAAAAACATGAAACAACTGCAAGCAAATCTTAACTATTGTTAAAAGTAACATGGCCCAAAACAAAGTACAAAGAGAGCCACAGTAAGATATTATTTGAAAATTTCCTCCAGAAAAGGGCATTAAAAGTCAGAGAAAGACAGAGAATTGGACGTATTTCTACCAAACAGACCTATGTGGAGGTGAGAAATTTAGGGTGTGCTTGTCGAAGCTGCATAAGAAGCAATGTAAAAGTGGGCGTGATTCCTTTTGAAGAATTGAAAAAGCGGAATATTACATTCTATCAAACAGACCTATGTGGCAACTGAATGCGGGATTCATGTGCCGCAGGCATGGCAAGAGAGCGTTGTGAACAGGGCTCATCAGTTAATGCCCCCCAACGACGATCCTCTCGTGTGCTTCCGCTTTTTCCTTGCCGCTGACGTCACTGGCGCTTTATTATTCTCATTCACTCTTACTCGAAGAGAACTAACAAGCACACCCCATATTTCTCACCTCCACATAGGTCTGTTTGGTAGAAATACGTCCAATTCATCAAATAAGTCAGGAAATTTTGCGAGTTGAGTGTCAGCTCAGCAACTCCAGCTTTTGCCATTTCAGAGTGCAAGAAAAACGGCTGAGTGCCTATTTTTATAATTTAAATCATGCAAAGTAGAAATTCCATCAAAACTTTAGCAATAGTGACTGCAACCATAAGAAAAAAATAAGAATAGAAGTTTTGTTCGACGGTATGGTAAAGTCAGAGAATTTAGAAATTTTAGAGTCAGGAAGAAGCAAAAAAGTGGAATAATTGTCAAATCAAGAAATTATGGAAACTCTGAAGTGTGAATTTCATCAGCACTGAGAGCTAGTTTCATCAACTTGAGCCCATTAACTTTTATTGTATTACATGTACTCCTGCAGATTTTTCCAATGGCGATGGAGATATCCAAAGGTCGGACTTCGGGAAGGAGATAATTTGCAATGCGTTCGAAAATGACTTGTTTTCGTCTGTAGAGAGCATGCGGGAAGGATTGGATCCAATTGACCTGGACGGACTCCAGCTGCTCACCGATCCGAACATGATGCCTGCTGATCCGGCAACCGAAGACCACTTCCGCCTCGACAGAATGTAGTCGGCTCTCTTTCTAAAAGTAAGTCTATTTTACCATTCAACATTACTTGACCAGGAAAAAGTTAATAATCTTTTTTGAAAAAATTATCAAAAAAATTCAGAACTCATCACTACTTTAGGGTCCTGAAGGCCTCAATTGCTTGCCGCATTGAATTAAATCGCATTGAAGAAAGAGACGAAAAATACACATATGTCTAGATAGAACGTATGATGTATGAGTGCAGCTTTCAACCGCTGAATCCTCTTTGAGACACTTAGTCTATGCGAAATGGTAACACGCATCAGCTTACGCTCCTTTCTTAAATTTTGCTTCAGTTTGAATAGAAACTCCAGGAATTCGTTCGCGCAATTCGCGCTAATTTTCAAAAAGTCTTTTTCAAGCTTTTGGACCAAGCTCAGAGGCATCATGGAGTTCCGTTGATTTCGAATATGTAATCGAGAATTTCGCCAGTTAACACCACAAATTCGCGAATTTTGACGAAATGTGCGCTATTGCTGGAAAATTCGCGAAAAATTATGGCTATCATGTGCGGAGCTGCCGATCATTCCAGTGAGGGGGACGCTGGAAACTTCGTGAAACTCCGGTTTCCTTATTCGACAAATCGTAGATTTGTGCTTTATTTCGCAGTAAAACCACTGGCACTGCCAACCATTTTTTTCAAATTTAAAATAAGAGATGAAAAGAAAACACACATTTTTAGCGAGAATTTTGGAATTTTTAGCCAGAATTTGGGTCATTTTATATCATGAGAAAATGGGGTCTCTAGTTTTGAACTATCCACCAACACAGGGAAAATTATGAGAAAGTGGAAACTTCGGAAAAGTGGCGATCCTGTATTATGTAGTTTTAAAAAAAGGAGATCAAAAAATACATTGAAATATATACAGAAAGAATATGAAAAATTGATATATAGAGTTTCTTATCTTTCAGTTATCCTGATCTCATTCCCTCTGCGGCAGTTTCAACGCAAATGTTGCGTTTGCATGGTGACCTGTCCGGTCATGAAGATTGCTGTGCATCGACTCCAACGGAATCCTATCCTCCTGAAGGAGTGGTCAAATTTCAAATCCGACCGCTGCCGCGCCAAACCAACAACCACAAATTTACGACGCACAGGTAGTGATTATAATTTATTAAATGTTTGTAAAATAAGTTTTTCTACCCTTTTTGCAGTTTAACGTAATTGTACTTGTTAAGCATACTCTCAAGGCTAATGTTGAATGTTGAGTATTTTCAGCGATCGCCTGCGGATGAGCTGCGCAGAGAAAACTGAACCATTACTGTAGGATCTCAACACTGCTGTTACATTTCTCTTAAAATGTATCAAGAATTTCAGTGCAGAAAATCCTTATCAGAAGATTGAGTTGAAACCTGTCTCACAACTCCTTGTTCCAAGGGAGAAAGTTACCGTCTTGAAGTGAAAAATTTATTCACAATACGTATTTTTCTACTGCGTGACTGTAATGTATGTCTAGTCATATTGCAATATTGACCTATTGAAAAACAAAGTAACTTTCCCTTTTGCCTTCCTCTGTTTCTAAGTATTCATACTTAATACTTAATTTGCTCAGAATGATGCTTCAGAGTAGCTTTTATTATCAACTACCAATCACTGAAAAATTTCCTGTCATTTGTTGGAGGTATACCTATCTTGATGTTTAGATTCATCAAATAAAAGCTATTTATTCATTTTTTAATGAAAGGAGCAGTCCATTTTTACCCCTCAACGTAAATTTTGTAATGATGGTTTTATGTCTAAGACTAAATTAATTCATGGAAATTTGTTTTCAAGCGTAACATAGAAAAATACATCTCAAATTTGCAGTTATATAATGGTGACTTTACAAAAATACTCTTCAGAACCGCTGAAAAATTGTGTGAGGCCTCATAAATTTCCTATTGAAGAATAATATTAGGCAGCGTACCTGCCATATTGGTTTACCTCAAATTCATAAGTAAGATTCTGTTTTTCACGGCATCTCATCTGCATTCGGACGCAGTTCATGTTTTGTGTATGAATATTGTATGTATATTAATTAAACTTTAATTAAATTAAATTAATTAAATCATTTATTGCATGAGTAAGGTTAGTGGCTGCAACTAGGCAGCCCTTGTTAGACGTTTGAGGGATTCGTTTTTCTTGTATGTAAGTTAGTCGGTGGTATTTTGAGACATTCGCTCGTCCAGTAGAGTGCAGCTGCTTTCTGTCCTAAATTAAAAGGGGCCAAGAGCTCATAGAAGGATCGGTTGGCGTACATTTTGCAATGAGGAGCCACTATCTCTGGCTTGCTCATAAAAACCCCTATCGGTATGGGGAAACAAAATGCACGTATGCTGTTTTGAAAATCAGCCAGAGAGAGTAGTTGCTAATTATGAAACGTAGTCCAGTTGCAAGTTTGAGTTTTCTCAACTACCTTCTAACTGCGCAAAGTGTCAAGTGTATATGATAGTTTGTTAGTTATGGTTAGTTTTCGAATTCATCGCATCAACAAGTCTTTAATGTTACTATCTTTTCTTTTTGTACTTAGAACAAAGGACTTCAAGGTTGATTCGAAAAAGTTGTAAAAAATTTTAAAACTTATGTGGCATCTATAAATGAAACAAATCAATGGATCTCGAAGACTTCGCGAGAGTTATGCTTTTTTAAGAAAATCATATTCATGAGACTTTACGAGTAATTGACTAGGGCCTAAAAAAGGACATAAAATAAACATGGCATAATTTTCTAGAAATTTGATTAAGATGATAAATTAGGTTCCATAAGCGGAGTACGAAACGAATTGTCAAGTTTCACAAAATTTCTTAGTAGCAAAAAATTGTCCAGTAGTCTTAAGTAAATTAGAGATTCAAAGATACCAGCCACATTTTAAGCGAATTAGAAGAAGCTGCAATAAGTTTAGGAGTAAGAAGCTGTAAAGATGCCAAAAAGTTTTTAAGAATTTTTGAGAGGAAAGAAAAATAATTTTAAATCAATGAACTCTTCTGAAGTTTTTTGAAATGAGTCAGAAATCAGCTGCAAATTAAGGGGCAGCGCGTCTCAGGAGACTCCGCGTAACCAGGTTAATTGTTCTTAAAATTGCGTTTATACTTTTCAACATTTTGTTTATGTACTTTAAGTTTAGCAAATTTTTATGGTACTGTTACTAAACCTGTTTCTCTCTAAGTTTTTCATAATTTAACATAGATGCGAGCATTTTGTCCTTTTCTTTTTGGTTTGTCACTACTATTGTTGGTGGCCGAGGCTCTACCTGCAAATTGTTCAGAAGAAACATGATTGTGGTCTCAGTATAATGGAGGAAATGACAATGGCTCAACATTTTGAGGTCCCTTCCACCCTTCCAGTGTCAAGTATCTTGGAAGATTGTATGGAAAGAATTTCCAAGCTCTGATTTTATTAATTTTTTCATTTTTTATTCATTGACTCAGTAGTAATTTACTTTCCAGTCTCAAAGTTTAACATCAAGAACCATTTTTAGAAAGCATGAGGTTGGTTAAAGTCTTAAAAATCAAATTTTCTCAAATTCATCACTCAAGGCAGAAAATCATTAAGAATTTTTTCCTCCCAAAAAAATAAAATGCGGCTATTGTAAGATTCAGAAATTGCCTAACAAATAGACGTTTCTTCAGTATATTCCAGCGAGAAATGTGTTTTTGAGCTTTTAAAGTCTGAAATCTGCTGTTTGACTGAAAATAAAAAAAAGGCTAAAAATAAAAGGCTTAAAGATAATGTTATGAAAAGAATGTTTCTCATTAGCCTGAAGCTTATGATATCATATTAGGGGATGTTTCATGGTTGCAACCAACTTGGATCCAATGAAACATGCCTGCGGCATTATTCAAATAACTTACCAACGATTTCATCGGGGAAAAAAACTAAAAAAATATTCACATCAAACAGTGATAATGCTGCAAGCATGGTTGGGATAAAAACCTCGAGTTAGATTTGCAGATTGGAAAAATATATGCTTAACTCATGTCTATGATATCTTTAGGGTTTCAGCCAAATTACTTCCTTTAATTTGCCACCTCAAAAGCAATAAGCAAAAATATTTTCAGAAGCATTTCACGAGTCAGTTTGCTTGTAGAGTCTAACTCAGGTCCAATGTCAAATCAATAGTTTCAGAGTGTAAACCTTGCTCACCGAGCGTTTCTCATGTGTTCATGATAAACTCCAGTGTTTTTAAATTTTTATGAAAGTAGATTTTATTTTCATTTCTTACATAATTTTTTCTGTACTACGTGAATGGTTTTAAACCCTTTTTTTGACTCGGTGAGGGAGAGATTTTGCAACCCTGTGGCTGAAAGTAGCTACCAATGACAACAAGTAATTATTGTTTCTTATTTTACCGAGAGTCATCACTGATATTATGGTTACGGAGGATTCTGCTCGACATCTGATTTAAAGTTAGTGAATATTTCAAGGAAAATCATTCCTAACGTTCCTCACGAATTAATATTTTTATGGGAAATTTGGCAAATCCTTCATTTCTACAGCGTTTTTCCTTGGCACAGCAGAATTAGCAATGTATCTCTGTAAAAAATTCCAGTGGTAGTCCATAACGAAAAAAATTATCCGGAGTCAAATATCTCCTACTTTACAGGTCAGTTTCCACCGACACTGACTCCAGCAAGATTTTTTCCCCTCTCTCTCTTCATTTACTTCCAGCTATTCCCCTCAAATGTTTGAAATAAAATCTTAATCTATGTTGTACCTACCCTTGGTATGTAACAAAGGAATTTCTTACATACACTGGTATCTATGTAAACATTTTGATTTTAAAAATCGCAAGATAGTTACAGAGCTGTAAGCGATAGTGCGAATTGAATAATGAAAAGGCTTAATGATGAATTTGCGTTCCATTCTCTTATTTCAACGTCTTATCAGTTTATTATAAAGGTTGGAAATTCTGAATTGTTGATCATCGATTTTGGATAAACTGATCAAACTTTGATTTGAAAAATTCTCAGCTTGTCTTATTTAGATGCTATTCTTTCAGCCTTTTTTCCAGTGCAGGCAGCATATTGTAATCAGTTAAAATGTAACTAAGCGTCGTAATCCGAATAGAGAAATAAAAAGAATACCTTTAAAAACAGGAAATAATTGCTGTTTTGTCAGCAGGAGGATAATGTGTAATTCTATCTAAAATTATCGATTTACCAGTTGTTTGTTGTGTAATAAAGAAAGTTTATGTTTGTTTTCAAATTTTCTGCTTTCCAGAGTTTATCATCGTAATTTGTTGTCTGTTTCTAAGTTCTTACATTGTTTATTTGCCATTCAAAGTTGAGTGCTCAGGTGCCGAAACATCTTTTTACCTTTGACTCGCATGAAGAAGAGTTGTCCCTGTGATTGCTTGCTGGCAATTTCTCATGTCACCGAGAATGTAAATTTTTACTGTTACCAACTTTTAGTCACTTTGATTGTGGACTGATTATTGTAATTGATGGACAAAGCAATAGATAAGGGAGTCGAAGGTAAAATGGAGCAATCCTAACGGAGATGTTGCATGTGTGAGGAATTTGCGATTTGACTGTCGATTTATATGTAAAAGTTTGCGAGAAACACGATGGTGACACTGGTTCTCTCTGAAATCAACTCCCAAGCTCAAAAAAAGCTCTCGAGTTGAGGCCAAAATGGAGGGGATATCCCACGCTATCCTGTGAGTCCACCTCTACATCTAGACAAACTCTCCATGCAAAGATAGAGAGCAAATACATTGACAGTGCTGCTTCTTTATTTAGGGACTTTAAAACTGAGAACACAGCAACCCTGCCAATGTATTTGCTCCCTATCTTTGCATGGAGAGTTTGTCTTGCTGTAGACGTGGACTCTCAGGATAGCGTGGGATATCCCCTCCATTTTGGCTTCATCTTGAGAGCTTTTTTTGAGCTTGGGAGATGATTTCAGAGAAAACCAGTGTCACCATCGTGTTTCTCGCGAACTTTTACATACGAATCAATTGTCAAATCGTAAATCCCTCACACATGCAACATCTCCATTGGTTTAAACAGGTGATTATTTTAGAATAAGATAAGATGGAAAGTAATGGACTGAGTATGAGGTCACTCTACTGCAACCACCCACTTTCACCAGTACAATTGCTCAATTTTCCGTTTGTCTATCATTTCAATAATCAGCTCGCAAGTCACACAAAACCAAACTTTCATTCTCTCCTTTGAAAATTTGTTTTATTTCGACATTCAAGCTCTTTTGTTTCCTCTTGCCACAAATGTCATTTTGTTAAAAGAAAAAAAGAATTGTTACGCATTATTTAAAATTTTAAGATGAAAATCTAAATTTTTAGGAAATCGGTTATTTTCATCTGAACATGACTCCTAAAGAGTACCCGTAGTTAATGCACATATCAGCTCTCTGAGTATGTATAAACGAAATTTTTAAAGACAAATTATGGAACTTTTACTCGGTTGGATTCCTGATTCTTTAATTACATAGCTATTTGAGACATTTTTCAAGAGTTGTTGAAGAAACGCATTGAAGTTCCTGGCAAATATTAGAGCCCATTGATCTGTACACTGACGCGCACAGTTTTATCGTCAAATTCAGGGCAGTGTAGGAAATAAGGTAAATTTTAACGTTATACTTGAGGCATTTTTATGTTGTTATTCTAATCAAAATTCAGGATGTTTTAGTGTAATTTATTCCTCTGTCCTTCTGTATACTTTCATGTGACTGTTTCGTCAAGCACAAAAATCAAAGGATTTTATTTTTTATCCAAGGACTTGGAATTTAGGGAAATTAAAATTGTAAAATCTTAGGGTTTAATTTTCAGACTTTTTAGGTGTTGACCGTTTTGTTTTTTATCTTTTGTCTTCTTTGTCATGCTGCAATATGCTTAAAATTACATGTTTTTAGAATTTTTACATGTTTATGATACTTTTTTTATCTGATAACTTATTTATTTCATTTTCTATCATCTTTGCAACACTTGTTGTTGCCATAAGAGGTATTTCAAGTTGTTTCTTTTATTTCTAAATTGGTTGATTTATTTATTTATTTACTCGGCTATCAATGACATTGAGTGTCCTCTAAATCTTCCAAACTGTGCAAAAATCCTCTTTCTAAAGATCGTCTTCATCACGTAAAAAAGCAACTCTTTGTCTCCTTGGCTACTAAAATTTTCGCCGTTTAGGAAATAATTTTTAATCGTTAGTCTTTCAGTTCAAATAATTTAACTGTTCAGCATTGCAGGAATCAAATTAGTGAATGATTTTAAACATGACTGTGGCAGTTGATGAGTTTTTTCTTTCTTTTTTGTATCTGATAACTGTGTAAATCTCTCTTTTATCAATTTTAATTGGTTATTTATGATATCTATGCATTGTTATCGTCAGTTTTTAATTTCTGTCATTTCTTGTTATCACTATTGAGAAAATAATCATAACTGTTCGACTAGAAAATTGTAAGGAAGTTATTGTAATTGGAGGCATCCTTTTTCAAACCTTTGAATTTTTCCCATGCCTCTATCTAAATATAAAGTTAAAAATATTTTCAGGACACCTGTTTCACTAATTAAACCATCCTCCGTAATTTTTAATTTTAATTCTTCATCTCAGCTTCAAATGGCTTCCTCAAAAAAATACAGGAATTCATTTTGAATTGAATTACGTTGAAACAAGTTTTGAATCAGAAGTATAGTAACAGAGTCACTTTCTTTCTGAAGTGCCTAGCATACTAACTGGACAGAATTGCGCAATGTTTAGCCAACATGATACAAAAATAGAAAAAGTGTGGTATAGAAGTGCGTTTAGTCAGGGATAAAAATTATGTTACAATCTGAAACCATATGAAGATGAAAAAAGTTAACTTGTGGACCAACAAATCTAACTATCTTTTTACACTTGAAATGGGGCTTTAAAATTTTCAAAATGATTCGATTACTTATAAATATTCAGGCCTTGAAATTTTTTACCATCAGAAAACTTTTAGAGCTTACAACGTAAACTCCACAAGTTCTCCAATTTCTCATTCATTCTTCATCCATATTATCATTTTTTTTTCATACTATTTTTTCTGCAATTGAATTTCAAAGAATTAACTCACAAGGCAGGCTGAGGAATCAGTATCAAAGAGTGTACCATGTCAGTCCCCCAAAATTGTCCGTAGCCTTTATTGTGAGCAGGTATATCGGTGTGTACCTCATCAGAGCCTCTTGCTTCACGAGGCACTCGTGCAAGGGTTGAATTCAGTGAGGTTTGAAAAGCGAAGTCTCTGCTAATCCTTTGTTCTAATTTATTGTTTTCTCTCTCTTTGTTTTGTTTTCATGTGTATATTTTATTTGTGTCAATTATGGTGCGTATGTAAGATTGAATTTTTATAAAATTTATAATATTTTTTATCAGAGTAAACAAGGAATAAAATTGTCTTTTAAAGAGAAACAAGTTTTTTCTTGTGAAGTCTTTGTCGTAAATGATGCAGCGCGTCGTCCCAAGAGCACAATTTTCTTTGCCTCAGTCATTATGTTTGTTTCGAGTTTGGAATCGACAATTTCTCTTGAAGAAACACAACAGGGGAAAAACTGTGACAATTCACACAAAAGACTGATCAATATGTGCTGGTAACACATGATCTCTAGACCACTGGACTGTAATTTAGAAGACGTTAAGCAGAATGGAACCAAGACACAGCAGCCATTGCCAAATTTCATCCAATGATTTACTTTTTTTACGGGAGAATGATAGTGTGAATTTGTTTGCAAAATTTCGTGGGTTTTCCTCTATAATAAGAAGCAAATTCTTTAAAATTTTTAAAAGAATCTTGAAGAAAAAATAAACTGTTAATGAAATTTGGCAATAGTTTATGTGGTTCCTTGCTGTCTACAGTGGTCCATTCAATATCAGAGTGAGGTCAATAGCAAACCTACTGTAGTGCTGCAGTGGAATGCCAAAGAGAAATCTCTTGGTGGCCCAAAAATTAAGTTAGTGGAGGGCTCAGTATTCTGCGGGGAGTAGACATCTCTCATTCAAAAATATCTCGGAAATTAAATTTCAGTAGTTCGATTTATTCCACCTGGAAGCTGATCTCTCTACTAACATCAGTCACTAATTGTGACTGGACACAAGGGAGGGCTAGCAGAATCCAAGACTGCGATTGAATAAGCAGGCAGTTATCTGCCAAGACACTAGAGTTTGATATTTTAAGTATGAGCACTCACTAATCCCTCCCTGGTTCATTTCAACTCTCAAGTGGCTGTACCCTCTGTTGCCATACCTATGCACAAATCCTGTTGAGGCAATTCTCATTAATTGGTTTTGATTCAAATTGTTTTCTACTTATTGTAGAAATTTTATTTTTTGATACCATAATTCAATTACAAATGACATTTTACATGTAATTACCTTTGACACCAGATTTTTTAATGATAAATTCGTGTACATTTCATGGTATCCTTTTACGTCTTCCATGAGCAGTGAGTATTACATTCAGATTCCAGTTTCGTTTTGATGGAATTAAAAATATAGATGCTATAGATGGACACCTCATATTGACATATTAGTGAGGAGAAAGGAACTGTAGAGATAAATTTATAAAAAAAATAAAAAAAAAAAAAAAGATGTAACAGAACAGCAGTGAGCTAATGCCACATTGTTGACCTGAGTTGTGCGTGTGTTGCAGTTTTGTTAAAATATTCGATCTGAAGTTCCCTATTAACAACATCCCCCATCATTAATTGTTTGATTATCACAATTTAATGTATTAATCTGCTTACTTTTTTTAAAAAAAATATTTATGAGAGAATGGCGATCGATGCTGCGGCCAACGAGCATTCGCTTTTTTTTCTCCCAGCTTAAAACGTGAAGAAAAAAAGTATGGGAAGAAATCCCATATTTTTTTGGAAGTAGTTATTTGATAGTCTCTCTGACTCTATCGTCATTTTTTGTTTACCTCTTTGAGCACTATAAAAAATGGTTACTCAAGCAATCTGGCAACGCACATCACTCGCTCAAAAGTCACCCGAGTCGTCACCACCTTATCAGTATTTTGCTAGTGCTTATGATGCTTTCGCAAACGAGCTCTGTACTCTGTCAATTTATTTTCTGAAAAAATTCAAGGAAATCGTTTTTCTACATTTTCCAGTGCGTAAAGTAAGATACAATCTGTGCATTTCAGTGGAGTAACTTTGATTTCGAACGGTGAAACAATGTTACTAATTCTAAAGTTATTTTAAAGTCTCCTGCTACTCAGCTCCTGAAAATAGTGAATTCCAGTGATTTTCAAGATGGCTATTCCCCTCAGAACTTTTCAAAGTGCTATCCGATGAGAGCAGCGGAGCAACAGAAAATATTGATTCTTGCATCAAATTAAAGATTTCTTATTGCTGAGCTTTCGTCTAAAAATAAATTCTGTGATCAAGATTGAATTTCATTTTCTTTTTTTAGTGGTTTCTGTGTGAATAATCAATTTTATTGTGCTGCGTGGTTTTTTGCCACTTCGAAAAAATTCTATTCGTTTTGTAAATCATCCAACCAAGTATTGAATAAAAGTATTAAACTACGAACCATCTTTTGACCGGGATTTGTGCATACATATCTTCAATTTTAAATGAGTGAAAGTGGAAGGCAGCCATATTTTTTTAAAGCAAAATCTCAAACTACTCCACCAGTAGTGAAAAGGAAAAACGAAAATGCACGTATCCTTTCAGTGAAATTCATCATAAACTTTCATTTTACAGTAACAGAAGGAAAATAGTGTGTCTACTTTTATTTAAACTGATGCAATGTACGAAAAACACGAAGTCAAATTATTGAGACATACGAGATGAATTTTTCTACAAATCAAATATTTTTCGAAGTTCATTTTTTACCAAGTTGTAGAGGTTTCAAATTTTGAATAATGAACCTATAAATTACTTATTAATCGTTTCAATCGTTGCAGTGACATCTTTTAAACTTCACAGCATCAGAATTCTTTTAGAAGCACGATCTTCCCTAATTTGTCTTTTTAAAGGCCTCTCCCAGAGATGAGAAGAATAAACTAGAACTTGGGTGCCGTGAGTATGAATTTTGTGAATCTGAATTCAGTGCGTGTCCATTACACCGTGACTAGTGACTGTTTTATTTGATCAAAACACCTAAGAACTGTTAAACTATGATGAAGACGAGGACAAATCTTGGTAGGTTCCATACCCCTACGAGTTCTCAGGCCTCGATACCTGAAACTCAGCAAACAGCGGATGCGCCAAGTCGTCGGAGATCAACGGGTGGAGCGCCCCTTGGGCTCATCTCCGTCCCTGCTCGGCCAGTCAGACCCAGTAGGAGATCTGTTTGTGTGCCACCTGTTGGGGTTACCTTGGTGAGTATTTGGACTTTTAATTTTGTTCTCCTTGACTTTAAATTCAAGGCTCATTCTAAGGAAAAGTTTATGAATAGAGTTAAATTAAAAATCAGGCCACACATTCATGGTGGAAGTCGAAAACAAGTGAATCGCATTTGGCAAAAAGGAACCAACATTGTTTTCAAAACTGTGCAACTTTTTCTTTTCTTTTAAAAATACTTAATATATGCACGTTAAGTATTAAAATTTACACAATTGTTTTACAACAAAATTAACAATTTTTTGGTGGGAAAGAAAACACTCCAAGCTAAGCATATTCTGGGAGATTTTTTAGAGAATTATGAAGAGGCAACATTTTTCCAACCCTGTTATATCACGTGGATACCTTTTGGCAAAATGCAATCCAAGTATCCCGATTGTAACATTTCAATACTGCCATTTAATTTTTAAAAAAAAGAATTTTTTTGAGAGCATTTCCAAAAGTTTGATAGAATATTCCGTGTGGATTGAAGAATATTCTGTAGAAATTTCTAAGTTCCATTGAAAGAATGAAACAAGACAAGGAATCCTCAATGTTGCAAATTGGATTCAATAGTGAAAGTACGGGACCATGTATCTCCTTTGCAGTATCTGAAAATCTCCCCATTTTCTTTTTTGAGGGACACCAAATCAATATTATTTCTTGAAGTTCACAAATTTTTCTTTGCACGGTGAAGAAAAATCACGGAAGTTCTCAAGAATTGGCGTTGAATGGTTTTTCGTTTAAAAAATGTAGTATAACAGGCAGTCCGCAACGTCGCAAACTGAGATACGTGGTTTGAGAGTTTCACCATCAATATGTGTATTTTGACTTTCTCCACTGATGTACTGCATGCCGTGGGAAGAACGCTGTATGAGCATTCGAGGGTTGCCAAATTTCTCAGGATGAAACATATATTTTTGAGAAATGTAAGGCATATTCTTCCGTAAAATTTTCAGATAGTATAGATTAAAATGCAAACAAAATCGTCGGAAAATTTGTTTAAAAATTTTTTCGAAATTATTTTCTAAGCATAAGTTTGTTTTTAATGGAAGCACGGGNGGGGGGGGGGGGCTTGGAGGACAAGGTGCACCAGTGCAGTTTTTGCAGAAATGCGTGTTTGAAATTTCAAAACTACATGGATCCCTAGGGCGGAAAGATAGTTCGAACTGACTTTTTGATACTTAAAAATTGGAATTTGGGAGCGAATTTCCTCAGAATATGCATTAAATTAGTTTTAGTAATAGGTGAGAAAACAAAAGCTCTAAGGTCCCCTCATTTGCAATTTTGCAGCAATTTCCTAACAGATTTAATTTTTTGGAAGTGATATCATTTGGAGATCGCAACTGGGCAATATTCCCTCCTCATTGCACTTTAAATTTTATGATAGGTATTTTGTCATATTTTTCACAATTTTAGGAAATAATCTTGATTTTTATAAGTTCATCCCCCCCTCCCCCGTCCGTCATCCTCTCAGATGTGGCTGGAATGATGCCCCTGCTTCTGGAGGTTGATTGATAATTATTGCACAAAATGACGTATGACGCACTTATGATTTTCCCTTGTTCTAATGACATTTATTTGATAACCGTCCAAAAAAGTGGAGAAGGACCCTCTCAATCAGATAAATTAGCCCCACTAACAATAAGTGAGCAGCTGTTGCATGGATGAGGCAACTATTTTGGAACACCGCATACGTAATTTCGAAGATAGGTTCTAGATTCATATTTGCCTTGAGGAGGATTTAGCGACTTCTTTTTCTGCAGGAAATCATTACCCAGTCACATTCTTATTGATTTCGGAAAAATTCCTTCCGTGTTAATAAAAATTTGCATAATTTTCAAATTGATGGCGCTCAAAATTTGCACCGATCGGGCATACCAACATTCCATCGTGCATTGCGATGCTCGCAATGTTTTGACACTGCACAAATTAATCTACGATCCGATAGATTTTCCTTTTAAATAGTGAATATGCATCATACTTTACACCCCATAAATTTAACAAATATTTTCAAGGCTATTTTACAATTTTGAAGCTGCTGCAAATTTCGAAAAACAAGGTTGAACTTGAAATGTTGTTGGTACACTTGTCAAAATAAAATGCCCGGAACAGCTGTATTTTTGTGAGGATCGCGAACTGATATGTGGCTGTATGTATTGAGACGAATTTCCGGGATATCTTCGATTTTGGCAGCTTTAATCGTTCTTAAGTGATCTCTTTTCGACTCTACGTATTTACCGGAATGTGCTCTAAAATCAAAGTTTTCATAATAAGATAGGATTACCGTCTATAATTCAGCTACTTACCATCTTCCTCAATGGCTGATAGGAATAGGTGCTATGGATACCGCCCTTTACCTGGAACTTCTGGCCGTGTAAGTTTTTATAAATCCATTCTCACGTCATTTAAAGGAGCAAAAACTACCGCATAGTTTTAAAATTTGAGGAGCCAGCCTATTCGCCTTCCCCATCCCACGAAGCCCCTAGTGGGCAGTTGATGTTATCAGTTTTGTTGGTTATCTCTGACATATACACCTGGCACTAATATTATTGTCTTAAATCCGCCCTGAAATACCTTTCGCTTACTTCGTTTGGCATTATCACATGAAGAATTTTAGTTTTATCAGCTTCTGTCATTACCCTGCACCCTCACGACTAGAGTCTCAGGAATCATCGAGAGGGCTCATTTTGGGTATTTTCGCACGTCTAAAAATGTTTTGTCATACCTCTCCCAGTCAAGTTATCCAATGTTTTACTCCTCGTCGAACCTTACCTGGCAAAACCGTAAATCCCAAATCAGCCTTGACACCCAACAGGTTACCAGCGCACAAAACCAACGCTCTTATCAATATAGCATACGCCAGTCGCACGAAGTCCATCGCAAACCTAATAAAACTTCCATCGCATTTGATAATCTTTTGTTTGCCCCAAAGTTACCTTGTATCTTGTTAGTTTTTCTTGTAAACTGCTTACAAATTCATACTACGCCTCGGTCAATCCAGATCTTCTCATTATACTTAGCTCTGCAGGAAAGAATTAGACGGGCAGGCGCTTTTTGGGCTTTTAAGTAGTTTTTAGGCATTACAAATACACATATTGCTGTCCGCCAGTACTACTTAGCCCCAAGCAGTAAGTTTTTAGCATGCTAGGCTTTGGAAATACCCTGTCTAACCAATTGCACTGTAGTCCAGGAGATTGCGTAATAGGATGACTCATTGATGCACTGTGCAAGAGGAAACATTCATGGTTACGTAGTTGACTTTTCAGGATAGGATACTATTAAATGTGGGAAACTACACTATTGGCTGTGTGTTTAATTTTTCAAAAATTGTAGAAATTATGGTTGAGATCAAAATGGTATTAATAGTGATCGAATGACGCAATTTACTCTGGGTTAACATTTTGTTGTCCTTACATGTGTTGTAACTGTAGGACATAAATTAGGTTAAAAAAGTACGGAGTGTTGAGAGAGATCATCATCCCCGGCTCAAAAATTCCAGAGGAGGGTCCGAGTCTGAAGGCCAAACCAAATGTAAGAGTCTGTTGGTGAGTATAGCCTATAGCAACCCACTTTTAAAGTTTCCCAGGTTATGTATTTTATGCATTTTACAGCTCTTGAAATTAATATCCTTAGAAGTATTGGCATTTTCAATTTTTTTTATATATATTTGGACCCCGTTAAACAGAAAGGAACCAAGCCACATCAGCTATTGCCAAATTTGAGCGGACAATTTAATTTTTTTACGCAAGCGGTTGTGCAGATTTTTGTGCAAATTTCAGTGAATTTTCTCCACAGAATTCCCTAAAATTTTCAAAGGAATCTGCGCAGATGTTCTCTCGTAAAAAATGAAATCTCCCTGTTAAATTTGGCAATGGCTGATGTGGCTTGGTTCCTTTCTGTTTAACGCGGTCCATTTATGAAGTTCTGTCAATCTTTAAAAGTTTTTGCATAGGTACTGTTTCTTCGTTTAGATGTGTATTTTAGCAAGTTTTTATGGATTTTTGTTGACTTTTTGATGTTCATGTTTTCTGCAGGCTGAGGAAGGAACCAACCAACTTCGGCTGAAGGTCATTGCGGGACATGAACTTGCCAAGAAAGATATTTTTGGAGCCAGGTACGTTTCTTATTTTACCTTTTATAGTGTAATTTTCTTAACACAAGATTTTATTCAAATCTTTCATGAGTGTTTAAGTTTTCTCTGAAGTTTTTGAGACTTCAGGGAAGAAAGTTAAAATAAAATATATGTTAATAATTTTACGAATAAACACGAAACATGAAGAAACAGCCCAACAGGTTGCTTCAAGGTGCTACTTTTCTATTGATAAGGATGAGGAATTTTATTACAATGCTCTTCACTTATCTATCAGCAAAAAAGGAGAAATTATTTTAAGAAGAAGGAATATATTGATAGTGTAAGCAGAGAATCCTGTCTCTCGATCACTGATTCGGGAATCTATTCGGATGCTCTATTTTAAAAATCGAAAATTAATTATAATAGTTTATTGAAACCCTCTGCAATACATTTATAGCACAGTTTGAAAAATGCACATATCAATCGCAACATTGAAAAATCTCCCATAATGTTTCATTATTCTTCAAGGAAAAACAATCAAAATTTGTACTTGCAATTTTAAGTAAATTTTTCAAAACAAGGGAGAAAAATTAAAAACAAATTTGAAAGAAACGTTAATTAGTTTTTCCTCGAAGATTTTAGAGATGCGCTAAAACTTACAATGTTGCAATCTAAAATAACTACATTTTCTGACTCAATCACACACACATTGGATGGACATATTTATTCATCAATGTATTTTCCGATTGAAATTACTTATTTTGCAAAAAATTTCAAGCCCTAAATTTTTATCATTTTCCTTGGAAGCAATAAAGTAAGAATGAAATTTTTGCATCACTGCAATTTAGATACCTTCAAGATTTTCTAGTTTCACCATCAATATGTGCATTTTTCTCATAGGAAAATTCGGTGTCCACACCAAAGAAGAACTTAGATTACTCAATTTAGGTGTTAAACCTGCAGTAGTTAAATCCTCATTTAAGTAAAAAGCCAAGTTCAGGTTTGCTCTAGAGAAAAAGAGAAGTTTATACAGTGGTGCCACACTAAGTGGACTGCGTTTTGCAATTTGGAACTATAAATCTGGCCCGGTTTAAAAACACCGTGTGTGCCATTAGTTTCCCTATGCACATAAGTGTTTTTTCAGATGAGCCAGAATTTATAGTTCCAAATTGCAAAATGCAGTCCAATTTTCCTTCCTGCTGTGACCCTCCTTCTGCCCCTCCTGAGTGTTACTTTCGCTTGTCTAATTTTCCCCATTGTGACATTTCAAAGAGCCAATTAACCATATCTTTTGTCCAAGTGAGAGACAGATTCGTTATTTCCTTGTTAAACCTGTTTTTACAAGCACTGGGTCTGAGTCAAAAGAAAATAAGAAAGAAAGGAATTAATGTTGGGGGGAAAGAAGTTGTTCGACTCTCAAGGTCGTTGAGTTCAGTTAGATTTTTTAGTTGATTGAATGATTTTGCTCTCAACTGTCACAACTGCCCAATATTGTAAGTTCAGTGAGTCCTCTCCTTCATTCTGCCGTGCTAAGGAAAAACGTCGTATGAACCTTCAAGCGCTGCCAAACTTCCTTTGATGAAACACAAATTTCTCGGTAAACTTCTGAATATCTTCTTTCCAGTTTTTCAGATAATTTTGTTTACAATTTCACCTAAAGTTCCTGAAAATTTCAGGGAAAAATACACATATCTTTACTCAAAAATAAACTTTCTATCAAAGGAAATTTGGCAACTCTTGAATGCTCATACGGCTCTCTTCCTCAGTACGGCAGCATTAATAATGTATGAGCTCTCTCAGTTAAGTTTTAATGTATCTATTATGCCATGAAATTTTTTTATCTAGTTTGCAACAAAGAATGGGAGTAAATAAAGTTGGGGGAAGAGAGATGTAGCACAGTTCAGAACATTGAATAGCTTTAGGAATAAGAAGTGAATAGGTATAGTCAGTCCCAGAAATTGCATGAAAAATACTATTATGAATTAAGAAATGCCATCCTAAGCCCCCATATAAAATCCATTCGGTCAAAAAGTTAAGTATTGTTGAGTTTTTCAAAGCCACCCTTTTTGTAACCTAATGGAGCTTGTCGTAAATGTGGAACGAAAAATTTAAAATTACCTTAGTTTCTGATAGCAACTCTCTGTCACATTTTCTTTGCAATTTTATATTTTCACAGAATAATTTCATTACATATTGAAAAGATGAGCTGAATACGGATATTGAAGAGTGTAAGATTTTATTTTAAAATAGATTGTTTTCCTGTTAATTATAGACGGTCTGTTTTGCACGAGTCAAGCTTGACCCAGTTACATGGTATTCAATATTATCAATCCACTTATCTGAGATTATAGCATCTTTCAGGAGAACTTTTCCCAACTTTATCCTGACATTTATTTTTGCAATTTGAACGTCTGCTCTCAAAATAGTGACAAGTCGTCGCTCATAATAGTACTTTTAAAGTTTAGTTTTGAAGGAATTTTTTCTCTCTGAGTGAGGAATGATTTGATCAGCCATGAGGTATTGAAAATTTCAGCGCTGAACTGCGGAACCAGTTGTTGATGTTCACACCCATTCATTCTAAGGGGAAAAAAGGGGGGGAGGCCGTTTCTCCTCTCAACAAATTAGAGAAATGTTGATATCAGTTGCCAGTTTTCAGCTTCAATGTTGATTTAAGAAGCTTTCGTCCTTTTTTTTTTTTTTTTGCTGTGTGGAAATTGGGAACAAAAACATACATGAACGAGTTTTTTCCAAAAAGAAACATGTCGACGGTGAAACTACCAAACCACGTATCTCGTTTGCGGTGTTTAAAAATCTACGCTCACATTTTATTTTTTTGAAGTAGACCAAATCAATATCATTCCTTGAAATTTTCACGGAATTTTCTCCGCACAAAGAGGAAAAATCACAGAAATTTTCAAGACTGGATGTTAAGTAGTTTTTCATTTAAAAAATAAAGTATGACAGGAAGTCTGCGACGTCGCAAACCGAGATACGTGGTTTGGTAGTTTCACCGTCGATGTGCAGTTTTAAATGATTCTTGAGAAACATGATGATATCTACTATTATTTTGGCACTATTTGGAAATGGACACGTTCCTTACAAGAAACAACGTACACAAGTAATGGAAGATTCTGCAATTTAGAATTTGTCCATTATCCCATCACTTTACCCATGAATACTTCTTTATTCATAATTTTCTCACTGATCTTTAGAGTCACTCGTTGAATATGGAAACAGCAAAATTTTTTGAATAAAATTTTCCGGGAGCCATCGGAATCTTGCTTTCTGAGGCCATAATGTATTTTTAATCATACTCAAGTTCTTTCTAAATTTTTGTTCCAGCGATCCTTATGTCAAAATAGATCTTAACACAATCAATGGAAATGTAACAATTGACTCGGTTCTCACCAAAACTAAGAAAAAAGTAAGTACCTCTCTCATCTCTGTTGTGTTTTTATAAGTATAAAATCATGTGTCCCTTTTTTCTAATGGATCCAACGTATGTTTGGGTCACAAATTTTTCTCAATATTTTCTTTTATTGCGACAAAAAATTGGAGGAATGTTCTTCAAAGTGGCGACATGCAATCATAGAAAACTTGGAAAAGTAAGGGTATTTTTTCACATGAAGAGAAGACTGCTTTGAATGCTAAGTTCTTCTCTTCAATAACAGTCAAAGGTTGTCTTTTTTAAAGCAAAAAAAACCCTGGTAATATCAATTCTTGATTTTAGTCTCCACCATGTTTGCCTAAAATCTCTTCTCAGGGTTTGTTTAAACGGTTACATATTTAACCAGGAAAATCACTGGAACTTCACAATAGAGCCTCCTTGTTATGATGTCAACTATTTCATCCTTCACATCAATATTGGTCTGATATTCACTTGAAAGGATCAATGAATATAAATTGAATGAAATTGTAAAATTAATTTTTGTAGATACATTAAAGGCAAAGAGAGAATCGAACATTTTGTTTACAAAATTGATCACAGCAAAATAACCTATGGTGCGAGTGATTTTTTATTACATTCAATGCTAATAGATGGACTGAAGCATTGAAAAAAAATCTTCCCTGATATTTTTGAATGTGGTAATTTGAATTGGACGTATTTCTGCCAAGCAAAACTATGTGCATTATGACGTGAGCCCTGTTATGCACATATTCTTATGGGTTTCATTGCCTTACTGCACATAGTTCTGTTTGGCAGAAATACGTCCAATTGAGTCAAATGGAAACGCACCAAGTTTATTTCTTTGAAAAAATGAGATGAAAGTAATTTAAAGTTGTAGTAGTGGTAGTAATTAAAAGTCAAGAAAAAATGTTTTAAACGAGGAAATAGTAATTAAACTTTGTCCTTAATATTCAGTCTTATGAAGGAATGAAACTTTAAACCTTATTTACTCAGTTTTAACTCTATTCATTTTGATGCATTTCTGTTGATCTGAGTCCATTCAGGGTAGGAACTTACCAGCAAATAGACCAGTGAATGAAATTTTACATGCCTAAAAATGCTCGTAAAGAGATCGCAGATTTCTCTCTTGTGCATCAGGAATAAATTACTCTGTGCTGATAATTTTTTTCTTTCTCCTTTCAGACTTTAAATCCCAGTTGGCATGAAGAATTTATTTTTCGAGTAAGTTTTGCAATTTTGTCTGTTTTTCTTTTCATAAAAGCTACATTTTTTTAAAAATATTTTAGCATAAATGTACTTTCTCAGGTGAGCAAACTTACCGCAAACATAAGAAATGGATCTGATTCCATCCAAAAATGGACTACCAAAAGTCTCACCAATTACTCAAAATTTAAATCCAACATCGGAGAAAAAAAACTTTCTCTTTTGAAAATCAAGTACAAAAAAAAACCAATCTCATTAAGTTGTTTATAAGTTTGGGAATGAGAAAATTCCAGAATTCGAGACTTCTTGTCAAAAAATCGATGTCATTATTAAAATTTCCCCAAATAGATTTTTTCTTCATTCTCCGAAAATAAAATTTTACTTTTTTTCCTTTTCCAAGAAAGAAAAAATCATGAAGCCCTCCCTTTCCTCTTGCACAGCTCTCGGCTCCGTAGTCACTGCCTCCTGTAACAAGCACAGTTGTTGTATTAATTCTCTCGGTCTGCAAAAGAAGTGCAATTATGAAGAATTGATTTGTCGGCTATTGAATGAAGCAAGTTTGTAGCATTTGTGATAGCATCACTTAACCGGCTATTAAAACACCCTGCCTCACCACCTCCATCCTCCACCCTCAGTGTGAAGAAACCCACCAAGTGCCTATCTACTTTCCTCCCTGTTTTTCCCATTCCTCGAAACAATTTGTTTCTTTTCCTTTGCTTCTATCATTTTTAACTGCAAGCTTAAGCCATTAATTTGGTAGTCAGGTTTTGACTTTTTGATAAAATGTGAACACCACTCGTCCATAAGACTAATGTTGAAGGGAGAGAGTAATTGCTTCATCGTACTTAGATTTAGAAATGAGTTCATGCTCCTCCCCCCCTTCCCCACCTGACTCTAACTACAACGCAAAGAAAATTTGTGTGCATGTGGTTATTTACATTCAAAGCTCAAGATTCCCAAATTTCGTCTGATTTTTAGTCAAAATGTTCCAAAAAGGGGAAATAAAACCAGATTAAGTATATGAATTGAATGAGTGTTTATCTTTTTATCTTGACATCAATACTTTTTACTTTCTCGCCACCCTAGGTTAGAGAAAGTATTGTTTTGGAATTTGCCGGGCAACTCCTGTATTAAGGAAAAAGTATTCCAATCCAGCAATTTGGTTTTAATTTTCAATTCGATAAGTACGATTTTAAGTTTAAGTCTTAATGAGGTCTGTCTAATTTTTGAGATTTTGAAGAGGAAACATGTGAGGTTTTTTTCTAGCTCAAAACTAGTGGCCCATCATTAATAAAGTATTGAATTTTTTGTATGTCAGCGGTTCCTTGCTTTTTTGACCACCAATGAAATTGAAATGTAATGTTTTTGCAGGTCAAACCAGCTGAGCACAAGTTAGTTCTTCAGGTGTTTGATGAGAATAGACTGACAAGAGATGATTTTCTTGGTATGGTGGAGCTCTACCTGTCCAACCTACCAAAAGAAGTTGAAGGCCGTGTGATACCCCCAAAATTTTATATTTTGCGCCCTCGCAGGTTAGTTGAACTCATTATACTTTAAAATTTTAAGTCTGAATGCATGCGTTGCAGGCAAATAGACAAATCAGGCATTTTATGAAATGCCAAGGCAGATAGTGAAATTGGGAAAGTTCTTGAAGTTTATTATGTACTTGTACAAAGAGCTCTCGAATTCTCAATTGTTTGAAAATAAGAATTCATCAAACTACAAACTATCATTCTATTTTTATTTTCAAAATGCTCCTCATGTACTTCTAACAGTTTCAACTGTAAAAACTGTGAAAATCCTGCTTTTTAAAAAATACCGTACCATTTGAAATTAATGTTTTTTTCTGGGCTAAAAATTAATACAGAACCCATACAATGATGCAAATTTTTAAAAATATTATTTTGTCCAAAATTAGTGGAGAGTCAAAATTTAAATCTGAGTGAGAATGTTTGACATTTTGCCTAGGTATTTGACAAAATGCCTGATTTGATATTTTACCTGTGACTTATACGAAATCAATGAAAAAGTCTCCGAAATGCTGACAGTTTCTGGCGATCCAGCATTTTTGCATCCTGTGGCAAATAATACCAGAAAATATCCCAAGTTATGGGGATTCAAAAGAAAATAGACACTAGAAGACAGTAGAAAAATGAGGAACTACATCAACAACACAACAGTAATATTGTCGAACAAAGAAAATCAAGTACTCTGCATTCTTCAACTCGGAACTATAATCTATGGCTTATCCATAAAACGCATTTGTCTTTAGTGGCACTACACTAATGATGTCTCTATTAATGGTACATATGTTGTTTCTGAACTAAGTTAGAAGTTTTAGCTCCAAATTGCAAAATGCAGTCTAAAATATCCCTCTACATTTCTCCTATCATGAAAATTTTGCATCTTGGAATGTGAACTTTTTCACCCTTTTTTAACCTGTAATTCACTGATTACACCTATCTATTCTCCAAATGAATCTGGAGGAGTTTACACTCACAGATCATCAAGAAAAAACGTGAGTGCATACTGTGTTGTATGTGAAGTGATGCAATTTTCTGAGTGTTAGTAATTCTTTACTTCTGTCTTATCAGCAGCTGTTATCAGATTTGATCAAGCTAATTGTAAGAGGTGTTTTAAATTGTCAGGGAGTATTGAAAATAACGCCTATCAGCTTAATTGAGGAATTTCTAAGGAGTCTCACCCATTAGTTTTAAAATTAGCGGGCATCACTCAATGAGCACATGTTGGCAATGTGGTTAATTATCCAGCTCAGTCAAGAGTGGAGTTGTTGAGTTATTTATACTAATCTCTTTTACCGTGGCTTAGTGCTACTCCATCGGGGTTTTTTCTTTTCTCTTTTTCCCTGAGCAATTTTCAGATGTGTAAATACGGATTCTGTTCAAGATGCTTCTTTGCACAAACACGAAAATGGCACAGGTTTGAACGATCACTCTTCGTAAAGTCTAGGCATTGTGATTGGGTGAAAAGTCATTCACCATTGGATAAAATGAGCACATAACATTAATGTACATAAATGTCCATACTCCAATGCACAGTTGTTACCATTCACCTCATTCTTCCCTGAGTTTGTTTTAACAAGTTGTGACTGACAAACGTTTTTTTTGTCTACCTTGCGTGGAAAAGATGCCAAAAAAGGGGAAACTTTGAATTGAGAAAACTCTAAAACCAGAGTTGAAAATGATTTTCAGCTGACAGATAATGTGTAGTACATCATGTTGGTTTCTGCAATTATGTGTTATCATTGACTGGGAGGCTACTACACTCCCTGACTGCTTTGCGCCCCCCCCCCCTCCTGCCGGGAGGCGCTTTACGCCTCAGGCATTATTTGTTACAAGGCATTCTTGTGATTTTATATTATGGAGTATGATTTGGAGCAAACGTTTGTCAAGAGGAACCTATAAGAATGGAAGAGATACCCTGATGCCAAGCTCATGAGCACAAAATGGCTGTCAAAAAGTTAAAGTGAAATGAAGAAAAGAAAATATGCCAACTCTCTTCATGTAGTTTGTGCTTTGTTGCAGAGCTTAGCCTATATAATTTTTGTTGCTGCAGGAAAAGAATCATAGTGATTTATATAGTAAGAAAATCTTGACATTTTGGTAAAAATAGTTTTCATTCACAATTCCAAATATTTTTGCTATTTTGGCGTTATATCCACCCATTATATCTCTTAAAATTTTATAGAAGTTCATATTTAAAGGAAAAGAGGTGGTTTATGGGTTTTATTTGTTTATCGAAACTTTTTAGGTCCCTAATGTTTCTCTTTTTTTCTTTTCAGTGGATTGCGTGGCGTCAGGTCTCGTGTGAAAGGTAACCTAGAGCTGTACCACGCGTTTTTACCTGGTGAGAGAGTTCCTAGTGATGATGTTGGCAGTCTACAAGAAGAGTACGGGTGGGAAATGGTCGACCAAGAGACAGCTGTCGAAACGCCTGCTCAGGTATATGCACGTATTTTGCTTCTATTCTTTTGTATTCCTCTGCTTTCTCTATCTTTTTTTTTCTTCTAGTTTCAGGCTTACATCCTTTAATCTGATCATTGAGTTTTTCCTTTTAAATTTTAAACTCTGCCTAGCAATACAAGAAAATATAATACTCAAGAAAGAGGTGTCTGATGAACAAAACAAAATTTCCAACATCACAAAATTCATTGACGCATCTTTTATACCTTTTATTTCATAGTCTAAAAATGAGGTTGAGAATTTTATACCCCAACAGCTTGCTGATTGTTGAAATTGACAGACAAAGCAATATATAAAGAGGACAAAGGGAGTATGGAGCAATCCTACTGGTTGAAATGGTGGGTTCCCATAGACTAAGGGAGAAAATTATGGAATAATTTTAGAGTCTTTCATGGGTTGCAGTTAGTTAGTCTATTATCTGCCTTCTTTGTCCATTGCAACCATCCGCTTCCACCAATAGAATCCCTCCATATCACTTTTGTCTTCTTCGTCTGTAGCTTTGTCTATCTATTTCAACAATCAGCCTGCAGCTTAATGAATTTTTCTTATTCCGTTCCTCATGGAGGAGGACTTGAAGTTAGCAGTAAATTGTGATATTCAGTTAAAAATTGAAAATGTTTTTACTGCTAAGAGATTTGAAAGTACAGTCTTGCCTCCTTTAATTTGAATTTTACTACTGCATGCCAATGTTTCCAACTTAAAATGTTGCTTTCTTAAGCGATTTTTCCTAGGTATCCTGCCCAAAAGGTAAAACGTACAAAAAAAGGCCAGGGTTTCTAGTGACCTGAAAAGCCGGGAAAGTCAGTACAAAAAATTCTTCAAGAAACAATCAGGGAGAATATTAGTGTAAACGAGATACTCATGCACTCCTGTGCAAGAATAAGATTTTTTGCATAACTTCGCTCGGCTTTGATATTGAGCCTAGGAGTGCCTTTACCTGTCTTCAGTGAATTTTTCCCCTCAGAAATTCAAGCCCCTACTGATCCGCATTATTTTGTGCGGAGCTATGTTTATTTTTACATTTCTTTTGATTTGGAAAAAATCAACCTGGAGAATGAGGGAATGTCAGAGTGACGAAGAATCCTAAGATTAGAAAACCCTCTAAGTTAAAAATTCGCATGATATTATGCATGATGCCAGCACATTGCCATGAAAAGCTGCCGCACTACTAGATGTTTAGTAACGCCATTATTTCCGATGTACATTTAATCAGCCTGTGTTCGTTGGTAACGTGGAACAGCCAAATGCTCTTCCGCCTGGATGGGAAGAGCGACAGGATGCCAATGGAAGAACCTACTACGTCAATCACATAGCACGCTCTACGCAGTGGGAACGTCCGACCCTACAACAGTAAGCATCTTCACTTCACCTGAATTTCTTTTTATGAAATACAAAAAAATCTTCAAAATTAGATGTGTTTAAATGAATTCTTGCAGCAGGCTATCAGCGTGTGTGGACACTGCACAGCAAGTTGTTATTATTTGGAGGAATTAGATCATTTTGGTCTGTCTTATTGCCCTTGCTGGCAAGAACTCAAAATCTCTCATTAATTACCAATCAGAATTTGCGAAATATTTACCTAGCACTACAAAAAAATGCTGGAAAATTCACTTTTTACCTCCCTTTTTATCAAAATTGGAGTGTTGACAGCACAATTTTCAAAGCTCATAGTGTCTAAGAGGTCGTAAAGATTCTATCAACTTTTAGTGGGCAACAAATCCGGTTTTTTGTGCAGAATTCTCTTTGATGATTAACCTCTTACTCTGTCTTGTGGTCAATTCAATGATTGTTATTAATATGCTTTCTTAGTATACTTGACATGCATCTAAATTTGAGGTCCGTATTTTTTGCATTGTAGGTCTCAGGAGGTCCCGAATAATCAAAGTCTAGAGACAGCCGCCACAGAGTTTCAAAGAAGATTTCACATTAGTGCCGACAATGACCGCAGAGAAAATAGTTTACAGGTAACGGAAAAAATTCCTTTCGTGTTTCCCACCTTTAAATTTCAGTTTCCCGTAAAATTTAATCACTCTCTTTCATTCCAATGAACTTGAAATATCATCATTCAAAGCAGGTTACTTGTTTTTGAGATTTTTTTTGCTGTGCACGAGAAATTCATAATAAGATCACATTTTCAGACATTTTGTGTCTGCGGTCTTTGTGAATTTCATCGGGTGAAAATAAATATTTTGCTCGTAGAATTAATATTTGAATAGAAATTTGCATGACTCCTAGAGGAACTCTTCCTTTTACTGACCATCTGCCTTCCAGGAAATTGGATTTCTTATCATGTCCTCTCGGGCATTTCTGATCTACGTATACATATTTAAGATATTCTTATCAAACATTCATATAGATCCTATGTTTCTTACCGTAAGTTGATGTACCCTAAATATTGGAAAAAAAAATAAACAAATTGAAGACTATGTCAATCTTGACCTGACGCAACCCAATCAACATCACTCGTTTCCAGACCAGACTGTTCCTCTTTGTGGTTTCCGTTATGATGAATGGCACTTTTAATGGGCCTGTTGCAAACTTTTGCTAGAGCAAAACTAAGAGTTGTTTCTTATAGATAATGCCTCAAAAATAACGATGAGCGCATCGGCAAAGTCCGAAATGCACTCATAACTTCACAATCTGCGTAAGAAATTTGCGTTTTTTTAAGCTTCCCGCTTCAAAAACGATACTACGAAGTAGGTGAACATTTTGTTAGAGGAGTCGCTCCATCGTCGGCGATATTCATCATGGCCGACACTTGCGCGCAGTTCCGCGCGTAATTCGAGGAGAGTTCAAGGTCAATTAAGGCGGGCGAGGAAAATATGAACGTAAACACGCCGATTGTTATCTGGTCTAATCCAGTTCAGGTATTATCTCGTCCCATCACACGAGTTTTGGCGGATTGGCGTCGGCCATGATGAGTATTGCCGACGATGGAACGACTCCTCTTACAAAATGTTCACCTAAGCCGTAGTATCGCTTTTGAAGCGGGAAGCTCAAAAAACCGCAAATTTCTTACGCAGACTGTGAAGTTATGAGTGCATTTCAGACTTTGCCGATGCGCTCATCGTGATTTTTGAGGCATTATCCATTGGAAACAACTCTTATTTTTGCACTAGCAAAAGTTTGCAACAGACACATTGATTAACTATCATTTAAGTATCTGTTCCCCTGAAATATCAGGTTTTTTTATGTTAGGTTCCTTTTTATTTTTTTTTTCGCTTTGAAGTAAACAAAATAGTTGCATGTTTTTTTGTTTAAATCTCGAAGGAAAGTGATTCGTCAAACACAGATCACAGGCTGAACGGTGATTTTGATGCATCGAGCGAAGAGCAAAGCTTAGAGAATGACCTTGAGTATGACAGCGATGTAAACGATAACGATAATGAAGATGAAGAACTGGGTCGCTTGACCTGGTTCAATCTGGAGGAGGTAAACACTGCTCAGATTTCCGTGTAGCAGTGGTTGCCGCTTTTTCCATAGACTCCTTGCCCCGTCATCCATTGGATATTAGAGTTGTGAATGTAGATTTTGTCCATCGCACAGGATCTGTTAATTAGAATGTTTCCCATGTAATATTTCTAAGTATTTTTGAGCCGGACAGTCTCAGTCTTTGATTGAAAATCTCCATTTGTAGATTTTTGTAATGACTTTCTTCCCCCGTAGCATTTGAGATCTTAGCTTCCTCAAACGGTTAAATACTTGTTCTTTGGCAGTTACGGTATCTTTGAGGATCCTGTAATTTTATCATTGGGTTGATCAAAAAAATGTCGTGACTGTGCAGTGTATTTCTGTAACTACCTGCTTCCTTTGTCAAAGTTCTCTTTCATTTCACTCGCAGAGAAATTTGGACAAAATTCTACTAATTCTAAAAAAATCTCTGCTGAAGTTATAAAAGCATTGTTTAAGGTATTTGTGTCTCTCCTCTCAAAATCCTTGACTTTTTTAGTTTATGCTTCCTAAAATTATGAAGTGTCATTTTTAGTGTATTTTCAATTATTAATTATAGGACAACATCTCTTTTTTGTATTTGTTTATAGTTAAGGCGCTGAATGTCAGAAAGATACTTTTCGGTTGCGGCATTTCAGAATCTCTATTATTATTTTGAATTTAATAGGGGTATTTAACAGATTATTTTCCTGAAATTAATCAGTATGAATATTCTGAAATCATAGAATATTCAGTAATGTTTTCAACGAATTACATGCATTTGCTTTCCTTGTTATAATTGAAGTGTCAACAGAGATTCTGAGACATTGCGACTGAAAAGCATCCTGCCTGCATCCAGTGTAAGTATCAATTGTTTTCAATTCCTAATCTCAGATATTTAGAATCAAAAGCTGTCTTCTCGATCACCTGAAAACGTCACAGAATCGAAACGATCATCATCGAAAGTTTCTTATGGAATTGAGACCCTCTCTTTAGATTGTATGGTTTTATCATTTTACCGGATGGATTATTATCACCTGTATATTATTTTTTGTCCGGTTTTCTAACTCAGATATCTAGAAAAACTGGACAAAAAAAAATAATATCCAGGTAATACCCTCTCTTTACTTGGACAGTGATTATATAAAGTTGGGAATTTTTAATTTGTTCACTGCATCCTACAATAAAAGCGTATTTTCGTTGATGATCGGTCGAACCAAAATGGGTGGATCAAGCGGTTTCGTATTTTGTTTTGACGCGATCATAATTTTTCGGAACAACATAGGGACTCACCAGACAAGTAGAAGGTGGAATTCTTGCAAACGTTGGAGCCAAAATATAATCCTAGAAAAAGTAGGGTTTAGAAACGACCTGATGAAGATGATGGCATCCAACCAGCATCAATTTTGAAAGTCTGTTTTCAAACCTGATTATCATCTCGCCGCCATTGTCGCGGCATTTTGGCTCAACCGATCATCAACGAAAATACGTTTAAACTTTGAGGAGAGAAGCCTGCATTGTGGTGTTCGAGCCCCTTCCCATTCCTTAATTTTTTTGAATTGATCTGCTCACCTCGTAATAATGATTTACCTAGTCCTGATAGACCTTAGATGATACTTATTTTTTTATTTTTCAGAGCACTGATTCAGTTGATAGTAGTACAGCAGTAGCGGCAGCAGCAACCCCAACTAGTAATAGCACTGTAAGTTGACTATCTTTTTTATTTGTTCTGCAACAAGGTCCAATATTGAACATTTTTTTTGGGTGGCATCACTGACGTTTATGAAATTCTTTATAATGGGGCTTTTGATCGATATTTTTCAAACTCATCTCTGAAAAGCTTGTGAAAAATGAGAATGCCTGCAATTTTCCGTTTTTCATTCATTCAATTTTTAGCTGAAAAAAACTTTCAAAGTCGCTATAGATAGTTTCTTGACACGAAATTGTGTGTTCATAATTTGAATCACAGCTCCATAGCGCGTTTAATTTTGTCTTGAGAAAAAAAAAATTAGTGTAATAACTTTATATGAAATCAAGCAAGCTTTAATTTTGGAGTTAATAATTTTGTCATCAGAGCAATTCGTGGCAAGTGGTAGGCTACAATGGGCAAAAGAGGCAGTTTTAGGCCATTTTTTCCAAATTTGGCAGCTTGCCGGTGTGGATTCTTCGGCACCAAGTTGAAATTCGGATTTATCGTCAAAAATAATATTTATAAGAATCAATGAAAACATAGCCACCCAGGATTTTTGCAGGCTCTTTTTCCTATTTGCCTGGAATATAACAAAAGGGTAAGTTCATATGATGAATTCTCATTCACATAAAGTAGAAAACGCCCTTGGCTTTCTATCCTAGATGAAAGGACTCTTTATACTTGACGGATATATTAGCAACAAATAGGTGCAGTAAAGTTAAATGGCTGCTTAATTGCTGCGTGCTGCGTTTACTAATTTTATCTTGTTTTGTTTTTTATTAGCCAGTCGTTCATACTCCTGTATCAACAAACCAGAACACAAGTGGTGCAGGATTACCCGCAGGTTGGTCATTGCAAGTGGCGCCGAATGGCCGCGTTTTCTTCATAGATCACAATACACGGGCAACAACATGGGTGGATCCTCGAACAGGTATTCACGAATTAACTTCTTTTCAGTCTATCTCATTGCAAGCATATACAGTATCATGTATTAAGCACAACTGTGCTTCGGCATTCACTCCCATTGCTACAAAATCTATGAACAAACAAACAAAAAAAACACAAAAAATGCGGCTTGTACTTCATGTAACATAGTGGTTAAATAGTGCTGGCTCCACATTATTTTGTGGGGAAAGAAAGCCTAAATAATGCAAAAATAATCAATGGGTATGTCGCACGCAAGAGATACAGCCAACTGAATACATCTCTGAGGGTTAATTCGCTCAAAAATCATATTCATCACATCCAAAAAGTCTGAAATCAACTCCTTAACTCGAAATCTGCCTAGTCTGTAACACACTTTCTCAAATTTATCGCGTATGCGGGCAGTTTTTCATGATGGCTGGCAGTCAGGTTTGCCCGGATAGAGACCTAACCCATACAAACCATCTTGGGAACTGTTATAAACTCTCCATGTGTAAGATCTCAATTGATTCAATGCTTTTATCTGTGTAAAATGAAGAAAGAAAAAGGAAACAAAGGCTTGAGAACGATTGAAATCATATAATTGTAAAAGTTAGTGGAATCGTTTGTTTGCTCAGATCAGTTTTTCTGACTCCTCTGTCTGTGCAAACCTGGTCAACAGTGACGGAGAAAAACTGCCTGCAGACGCAGGGAACTTGAAAAAGTGTGTTACGAACTACTCAGATTGCGCACTAAGGAATGAATTTCAGACTTTTTTGATGTGCCCAATGTGATTTTCGTTCAATTTTATCTACAAGTAGTGTATTTATTTGGCTGTAACTCTTGCGTGCAATAGGCCCATCAAAGTAAAACATTTTGGGTGATTTGACGCCATATTTTGAAATCTGGCGATATATTTTGAAACATATTAGATCTCTCTGCCTGACTCCAACTGAATATTCTAATGCATCTGCCTGAGCTGAGCTTGAACTGATAATCACTAGAGCTTAAGGTGATTCGATGGACGCCATATTTTGTGTCAGAACGACATGCGATATATCGCATCAATTGGCTCCATTTTTTCAGCTACTCGTCATTTTTCTCCAATTTTGAGATCGCAATTCTGTTGTCAGGAGACTGAAGCACTCACTTACCAATTTTAACAAAGAAATTAAACGTAATAAAGGCGTAGCATTTTTAGAGAGAAAATATCGCATTCGAGTGCAGTTTCGATATCAGTATCGAATGCGATGTTTTCTCTCTAAAAAAACCACGCCTCTATTATGTTGAATTTCTTTGTTAAAACAGGTAGGTGAGTGCTTCAGTCTCCTGACAACTGAATGCAATCTCAAAATTGGAGAATAATGACGAGTGGCTGAAAATATGGAACCAATTGATGCGATATATTGCATGCCGTTCTGACACAAAATATGGCGTCCATCGAATCACCTTAAGCTCTAGTGATTATCAGTCCAAGCTCAACTCAGGCAGATGCATTGGAATATTCAGTTGGAGTCAGGCAGAGAGATCTAATACGTTTTGTTTTACTCAAATGTATCCATCGTCTGATTTCTCATGATCGTTTCTCGTTTGCCAGGGAGGGCAAGTCCCATGCCCAACCAGTCACATTCAACAAGCGAGGAGCATCGACAGGAACCAGAAGATGAATTAGGCCCATTACCGGAAGGTTGGGAAGAACGAGTCCATTCCGATAATAGGATATTCTTCATCGACCACAGTAAGTATTTTCAATAATACTAGAATGCATTTAATTATTTTGATCGTCATAAATATTTCACTTTCCCTGATTCAAAATGTCACTGTTGATGATTTTAATGCTTTCAAAACAAATCTCACCGAATTGATAATGTTGAAACTGTTGAAACTTTATGAAAATTAAAGCGGCTATTTTTATAAAACGTAAAAAATGCTAAAGTTCAATTGCAACTTTTACTGCCAACAGCATTTTGCGGTCGGAGTCGAGCAATTTTTGCACTCCTGATACAAATTCTTTAAATTTTTGCCCCTCCATCAATTTTTGCTAATTTTGTCTTATTTTGTATCTTGCAGATACTAGAACCACACAGTGGGAAGATCCTAGGTTATCAAATCCTCTAATTGCCGGGCCGGTGAGTCATCTTCTAATGTTTTCTGTCTTGTTTCAAGAGAAGAAATTAACTGATTTGAGCACCATTTTATGTATCTTTTGCTCGTTTTTCTCTTTCTTAAATTTAAAAGAATGAAAATAAAATATGTGAAGAATCTTTTGTTTGTATTCTTCATTCCCTGTTTTAGTAATTTTGTTTGTTGTCTGGATCAACAAACAACTACAATCAACCCTGAAAAGCTGTATTGCTAAATGGTTCTGAAAAATCAACATTTTCAGAGTCTCACGGACCGGATGCTGATTTTCAGCGAAATCTGGCAACTGTTCAGGAAATTAAATAACTGTACTTTTTTAGGTTAAGAATCAACAGCTGATGAGAGCTTTTTAGAAGCACCAGGTGGAATACAAACATTCTCAGTAAAAAAATTTTCTTTGTATTTTCCAGAAGCCCCTTGTTACTATGAACTTGCTTCATTTGCAAAGTTTTTAGGATATAAAAGCTCTTTGAAGAAAAAAAAAGATTATTTGTGCTCCAGCATAAAGAAATATTTATTCTTGACAGCTCAAAGTTTTTGGAGACAGCAGTGTTCACTAAATATTTTGTATCGGAATGATATGCGGCTATGTTTTTATTTTTAGTTTACTTGGTTTTGGTTTGTCTTACTATTAAATTAATAACCGCTGATCTACATGAGCGGTACTACCAAAACAAAGCATCCCAAACAAAATTGGTAAGGAATGTAATAAGTTTTAAAAGTTTACGCAATATATATGTTACACTAACCAAACTTGTTCTAATTTTTAAGTTTTAGCTTTATTTGTAGTCTAATTATCAAATGAAACTTTTTTTTTCTTTCCAGGCTGTGCCTTATTCAAGAGATTATAAACGAAAGTATGAATATTTGAAATCGCAATTAAGAAAACCTGTGAGTAAAAATTTCCTCTTTAATATCCCTTTTGTTATATCTCCTATTATCTGGTGTTACATTTATCAAAATCGTTTTGATGCTACAGAATAAAATGAAAATCAAGAATCAGCGTAAGTAATGGCTTGATTCAGAACAGAAAAGTGCAGAGCTCTAGAAGAATAATACGATCCTCAGAAAAATTTAGATAACCATCAACTCAGAACTAACTTGAAACAGCGAAAATAAATTAAAATATAAAAAAGAGAGAGCTCACTAAAAAGGATTTACTTCGGGGGGGGGGGGGGTGTATTTTCAGACACCTTAATTCTACCTTTAGTACCAATGATAATTGATTTGGATTCAGTTCTAAAGATTAAACAGGTTATTCCAAAACATGTCATGTTAAGAATTGTTCCTCAAAAGATAGTCCTGATTATAAATTTTTTCAAAAGCACCCAAGATATAAATTTAAAATTTATGTAGCTTATTTGCCGTTATTAATTGTAAACCATCATAATTTAGAGGATTATTTTACCAGGAAAATTCCTGCAAGAAAACTTAACGGTAGAGTTCAGCAGATCGGATCATTAATGAATTCTGTGATCAGATAGTAATTGAACATAACAAGCAAAGTCATTTATTTCAGAAGGCTCCTATCAGCCGACATTCATGAATCAAACAGAACAATCCGTTTCCTCGTGTAAATGTCAAATTCATTTTTTTATTCCTCTTCTTTTTTTCTAGACGAATTCACCGAATAAGTTCGAAATTAAAGTAAGAAGGTCGACAATCCTCGAAGACTCCTACAGAATAATTAGCTCCGTCAATCGAATAGACTTACTCAAAACAAAGCTTTGGATAGAATTTGAAGGTGAAGTCGGTCTGGACTACGGTGGTCTGGCCCGTGAATGGTTCTTCCTTCTGTCCAAAGAAATGTTCAACCCGTATTATGGCCTTTTCGAGTATTCTGCAATGTAAGGCATACTTTTCTGATTTCTCTTTTTCAAGGTGATGAGAAAATTCTGTCTCTCTCATCTCATAATTGAAGTCTCCTCATCTATTATTTTGTATTTTGAACAACTCTTTATGATCAGAAATCAATCATTTTTAGGAGAAAAATTCACTGACCGGTTAAATTCAAAACTACTTCTACCTCATTTTTTTACAGAATGCGACTTGGTGCATTTCTGTCGACTCGGTACATATGGACGTATTTCTACCAAACGGAACTATGTGCATTAAGACATGAGCCCTGAGACCCATAAGAATATATGCATAATAGGGCTCACGTCATAATGCACATAGTTCCCTTTGGTAGAAATACGTCCATTTTTAGTTTTGCTATCCTTCCCTTTACTGTCATTAGACACATTTTCTTTTTAATATCCAAAGAACTGTTGTTCCTCTAAAAGAATTTTAAAAGAAATTCTTTATTCTTTTGCCGTTTGTTATCCTGAAAGTCTTTTCTGATTTAAAGGAGTCTGTTGCAACAATCTGGTTGATCAAGGCTTATGTCATATAAGGCGTCTAGAACCAAAACCGGCAATCGCCGATGACCTCGATTTCATGGAAAACACCAGCTTCTGTTACACCAAACCTTTACGTATAAATACATGATTTTTTTATTAAAAAATCACAAAATATTCATAGAATCTACAGCTAATCTCTCGAAGTAAAAATTTGTATCCTTAACAATGTTTTTTAACGTTCATGTTTGGAGATTGCCAGTTTTGAAACTAAAAATGGAAATGGAAGTTGCCATTTGGAATGAATTTTTTTAAAGACGATGCCGGATTTAAGAAGTAAATCATGAAGGTAACTAAGCAGACTGTTGTCTTTGATAGAGTATGATAGGATTTACTAATGAAAGGTGAAGGTGAGGTTAGCTTATTTATACAAACAGAGCTACGCCATTGGTGGAATTGGCGATTGCCGACTTTGGAAGAGAGAGCGTGCAGAGATGGCCTGTGTTAGCACTGAAGGGGTATTTCCACTTGCTGATTTAACAGCTTTTTGGCCAATTTTTTTTATTTTTTTGTTTTGCTTTTTCGTATTTAGAATTTTACATAGAATGATATCCTGCTCCTAAATTAATTATGAAAAAATTGTAGATTGCCGAATCTTGTTCTAGGCGCCTAATTTCTCTGTCAAATTAACAATTAACATATATATATATATATGAGTCGCTTTTATAGCGCTCTTTGGCGCTGTGCGACGCCTAATCGCCACAAAGCTCGGTCTTCCCACAGGTCATCAGGGAGTTGACAATCTCTTATCTCATTTAACACCCCCTGTCGCCAACCTCTTACTGGGCGTCCCCTACGTCTCCTCCCAGGAGGAACCCAATCAAGCATCTTTTTTGGCAGCCTCTCTTCCGTCATCCTATTGACATGACCATACCAAACAAGTTGTTTGGTCATGACGTCGAACACGATGTCATTTTCGACTTCCATTATCTGACGCACTCTATCATTACGGACCCGATCTCTCCTAGAAATTCCTGCTGACCTTCTCCAGAAATCCATCTCCGTTGCTCTTAGCATATCCTGTGTCCGTTTCTTCAGCTGCCAAACTTCACATCCGTATGTTAATATACTTTTGACTACAGCGTTGTATATCCTCCTCTTGTTATCTTTGGAAATCCGCTGATCCCAGAGGATTCCATTTAACATCGCTATAGCCTTCCTTGCTAAGGTGTTCCTTTCCCTGATAGCTTGATCCGTCCTTCCATCCTGGGTCAACCGCACTCCCAAGTACTTAAAGTGCTCGCAGCCTTTGATCTGCTGCCCATCCTCCAACTCAATGCTTTGCTGATCACCGCCAAAAGTCATCTTCTCAGATTTGGATATGCTGACTTCCAGACCCCACTTCCGATACTCTTCTACTAACTTGCGCATCATGTATTCCGCGTCATCTTGATCTTGAGCAACCACCACCTGGTCATCAGCAAAGCACAGAGTAAACAGAGTTTCGAGATCACCCAAGGGGACACCCATACCAGAGCATTTCTTTTTCCATTCTTTTAGCACGCACTCGAGATAATTTTTAAATAATGTTGGCGACAAACAACATCCCTGTTTTAAACCCTTAGTCACATAAAATCCCGCTGACAACCCCCCATGGCACTTAACTTTGGTAAAACTCCCTTTATAAAATCGCTTAACAGCGTCAATCAACCCCCCGTTAAAATTCGATTTTTCCAAGGCCTCCCAAAGTTTCACCAACGGCACGCTGTCATACGCCTTCTGGAGATCCACAAAAATTAAATGCAGTTCCTGAGCTACGGCCATTTTCTTCTCAATGACCTGGACAATAACAAAGAGGTGATCTATCGTAGACCTGCCAGCTCTAAAACCAGCCTGCTCCTCTGCTTCGTGATCCTGCCATTCGTCCTCGATCTTCGCTTTCAGTATCTTCCCGTACACTTTGCTTATTGTCCCGGTCACTGAGAGCCCCCGGTAGTTGTTACAGTCGTCCTTCCTTCCCTTCTTTTTGTAGATGGCCTTGATCCAAGACTCCTTCCACTCCCTTGGTACCTCGTCACCCCTGATGCATTGTTGCATCAGTTTTCTGAGGCACTCAAAGAGCTTGGCAGTCCCGTACTTGACCAACTCGACAGGAATCCCACCAGGACCCGGTGCTTTGTCATTAATTAGCTCTTTAACCGCTTTAATTATGTCACAAGTGTGGATCTCCAAGTTGTTCATTCTTCCGTTGTCCGTGCTGTTGTCTCGAAACTCTGGGCCCCTTTCCGTCAAAAGATCTTTAAAATGATCCTCCAGTTTTTTAAGTGATATCGGAGAAACGATGTCGCGCTTCATGTCTCTACGCAAACCTTTAATTAACTTCCAGCTCTCAGCACTTTTTCTCCCCCCTAGGTAGGTGTTAATTCTAGAACAGTTGCTTTCCCAAGCTTCATTCTTCTTCCGTGTTATGAGGCTCCTAACTTTAGACTGAGCTTTCCTGTAAGCAACTTTATCTTCAGTCTTTTTAGACGACAGAAATATAAGGTGTTTTTGCCTCTTAAGATTTATCTCGTCTTCAATTTCTTCATCCCACCAGTAAGGATGCTGGTATTTATTACTGGTTTTGTGAACACCTAGGGCTTCTTTCGCTGCAGAGTGGATACAATCTTTGATGAACTGATATTGCTCTTCTGTGGTACCCGAGAGTCCATCCCCCAGCTTCTCATCTAAGCGTTTCCGATACAGAGCCTTGACACTAGGGTGCTCCAAACTTTCGATGTTATACCATACTTCATGATTTTGCGTTCCCTGACTCTGCTGTTGCTCAGGCATTGGCTCTTTACCTTTAATCCCTTTAACGGGAAACGCTATATCTGCTCGGAGGAAATGATGATCACTGCCGCAAGAGAGTCCCCTGCACACTCTAACTTGCTGCAATTTCAACTTAGTAGTGTGCTTTACAATTATATAATCGATGATGGATTTCAATCCTCGCGTTGGCTGGACCCAGGTATACTTATGGATGTCTTTGTGTTGAAAAAAGCCATTCAAAATTTTCATCTCAGTTTGAGAACAAATTGAGATGAGCCGATCACCGTTATCATTAACAGCATCCTCCCCAAACGGTCCAACAACTTTACAGTTTACTCGTCGTCCCGTTCTGCTGTTCAAATCACCCATAAGAATGGCTTCCCTGCCAGCACCAACGTTCAGTATTTCATCATTCAGATCTTCGAAGAATTGGTCCTTACATGCGACAGTGGCATCATCATTTACACCGTATACTCCGAGCAGCGTGATCTTATGTCCGTACAGGTTAAGGTTCATTTTGATAATGCGCTGGTTGACGGCCTCCCAAGTGCCCACGAACTTACGTAGGCTTCTCCGCAAAAGTATTGCTACTCCTTGCTGAGCACGCTGATCTTTGGCTACGCCGCTGTAGAATAGATCATAGTCACCGTAATTCTCTGACCCGTGCCCTTTTTTCTTGGTCTCAGTAAGAACAGCGACATCCACTCCAAGTTTCTGAATCTCCGATATCACTTCCGGTAACTTATTTGAAATGCCTTGGACATTCCACGTCCCAAACAATTAACATAATACTTTCAAATTGGAACCTCTTGAAAATGAAAAGTGAAGATATTTCTGATGTTGCGATAATCCTCTCGCACTTATTCATAGCCGCGCCTTGAATTTTTATATTTTTTATTTTCTAGGGATAATTACACGCTTCAGATTAATCCAATATCCGGTCTCTGTAATGAAGAGCATTTAAATTACTTCAAATTCATTGGACGCATCGCTGGAATGGCTGTGTATCACGGGAAACTGTTAGATGGTATGTTCACCAACTTTTTGTCCATTGATCTTTATATACATGTAAATTGATGGAATCTAGTGTTACTTTCTCATGAAAATCACTTCTGGGGAGATGAATCTGTTACTTTACTTTTTTTTTTTGTGCTTTGAAGCAAGGAGAAAATCATATGATGAAAATTACTGTCCCTGTTTAAGCTGCGGGCAAGCAGCAATAGATTGTAGTGTCTACCGGTCTCAAACGGTCAATAGAAACAGTAACCAAAACTATTTTATATTCGGACTTCATTTTGCAATTAGTATTTACAATTTCTGGCTCTTCTGTAAAAACACGTGCATATGGAAACTAATTGTACGTACATTGTTTCTCAACTGAGAGAGAAATTGTAGTCACCAATTGCAAAATGTAGTCCATTCGTGAATTTACTATTTGATAAAGGACAAAATTCATATAGCTCTAATGTCGTTCTTTTTTCGGAAGCTTTCTTCATCCGACCATTCTACAAAATGATGCTGGGCAAGCCAATCGACTTGAAAGACATGGAGAGCGTCGACTCTGAGTACTACAACTCCCTGCTGTGGATCAAGGAAAACAACCCAGCCGAATTAGAATTAACGTTCTCTGTCGATGAAGAGCTGCTCGGGTCAACATCTTTACGAGAACTCAAATCAAATGGTGCTAACATTCCCGTTACTGATCAGAACAAAGATGAATACATCAAGTAAGTTAGAAAAGTTGCTCCGCATGACATGAACACCATGTCATTAGATGACATAAGAAAAAACAATATCTATGATAAATTGCACTACATTTTGCAATCCGGAATTAAAATTTCTCACTCATCTGTAAAAACACTCTTGTGCTTAGGGGAACCAATGGTACATACGTTGTTTCTAAGCTGACCTAGAAATTGAAAATCCTAATTGCTAAATGTAGTCCAATTGATGGGTCTCAATTTGTTTAAAGTCTACTCAATTCTGTGGGAATGTTTCAACGTAATTTAATCTAACATAACCTAAAATAGTAATTATTGGCTCATAGAAATTTGACAAATGAAGCATCTAGAACAATGTTTGCAGCCTCATACAGAATGAGTAATGGATGGTGCTTTATCAATACTGCAAAGTTTCGATCAAACATCCCTTGATTTCATTCAGTTTAGAAATAGTCGCTCTGAGGACGCTCTCCTAAAGAGGGAGAAATGCGTCCGTATGAATACCATCAACTAGCGCAATTGAGTCATAATTTTTTAATTTTTTTTTTTAATTCGGCGTTTTCTTGTGCAACTTTCAAAGGCGATTTTCGTTTTATTAGTTGATTAAAAAAACACTTTTCAACCTTTATTATTGCTGTTGTTTGCAGGTTAGTGATTGAATGGCGATTTGTAGCGCGTGTGAAGGAGCAAATGGACGCGTTCCTGGAAGGGTTCAACGCGCTGATTCCGCTTAACCTGATCAAGATCTTCGATGAGCACGAGTTAGAGCTTCTCATGTGCGGGATTCAAAACATCGATGTCAAAGACTGGAAACAGAATACTGTCTACAAGGGAGACTACCACCCTAATCATCTCGTTGTTCAATGGTTCTGGAGGGTAAGTTCCTTGTTGTTTTGTTTTGAGATTGCAAATGCGTGTCGTCATCATTTTCGGGCTATCCCACAGTAGCATACATTAGTTAAACTTCATTTTGCAATTAGGGATCGCAATACCTGACTCATTTGTAAAAGCACTTACCTGCACATGGAAAATGATGGCACATACACTGTTTCTGAAGTGAGCTGAACATCGTAGTTCTAAAAGAATAGATAAAGTTATGGACTTTGTGAAGAAACTCTTGAATGATTCATTCCTTCTTCGTTTCAACATCATCTGTAGCACTCTCATTTGTTCTTTGAAAATGTCTTCAAACTGTACTTAAATCATTACAAAAAAAAAAAAAGATCAGAAAGAACCAAATATCAGACTATCACATACATAGACTTGTCATTTCCGAAGTGGAAGTTACCATTTCTGAGATTCTGAATTCGCGCAGTTAAGCACAAAAATTACGTTTTCTTTCCTTATCTTTGTATTGTGATTAGTATTTTCATTTTATTTTTGTGTTTTTCTATCAGGTTGTTTTGTCATTCAATAATGAAATGCGAGCACGTCTCCTTCAGTTCGTAACCGGGACATCTCGAGTGCCAATGAATGGATTCAAGGAGCTCTATGGAAGCAATGGGCCGCAAATGTTTACGATTGAGAAGTGGGGGTCAGTTGACAACTATCCTCGAGCTCATACATGGTACGTCGCTAATAACCAGCGCTTTCATATAAAAAAACAACACCTTGTTATCACATAAAATTCAAGTGTTAAGTATGATGAGAAATGTGCCATAGATAGGTTTCATATGGCCAATAATCAAAGAAAACAGTAGTGTGGAAGTTTTTGACTAACTACTTGCAAAATAGGAAGGAAGGAATCATCTAAATGTCATTTTAGCATTTTCGCTTGTTTATAGAGCAAAGTGACAAATTCCTGAAAAGTTAGGTGAAACCTTGAAAATTCAACCTCGAATTTTCATGTTATATTGAAAGCAGTATGTATTACTCCTATTAGATTCGTGCTTTTGTACTGATAGAGCTCAAATTTGGAATTTGCTCTGTCTTGCAAGATGCCTTTTCTTGCCCTAAACGCCCCTGATAAGTTAGGGATGTGTCAGGAAGCTTCATGTTCCTTAATATTTAGAGGTTAGAAAGAAGCCAAGAATTTATAAATTTTGGAAAAAACTCCCCTCCAAAAATGGTTTGTGATTAACTAAGCCCTGTCCATTAACTTTCTGTCAAAATAGGAATGTTTTACACTGTTTCATTTTGTTATCAAGTGCTAGAATGAACAAAATATGTCCGTTAAAACTCCATAGCTTCCTTAAATCTACCTACCTACAGTCTATGACATGAACAGTAGCGGCTGAAGGGCAGAGTCAGGTGAGCGCTTTGATCTGTTATGTAGGGGTTGAAATGTAGTTATATTGGCACATCTAAAAGACCTCTGCTCGCCAAAGCCAATCAACCTTTAGACGGTAGATCACTTGATTTTACACCTCAGCTGAAACTTTTCATGTCGTGGACTAAAACCACACAATTCATTGAATTCCATCTGATCCATTCTTGAAAAGCATCATCATGAGCGCTCTCTTATGAATTTCAGTTTCAACCGATTGGACCTGCCGCCTTACGAAAGCTACCACCAACTCCGTGAGAAGCTGATCAAGGCAATCGAAGGGTCACAAGGCTTCGCAGGAGTTGACTGAGGAACGGATCCAGAGTGGTCCGCCAATCTCCTAGATTTGACTCCGCGCACCGCCCTTCGTCTTGCCCTTCTTCTCTCGTAATGTGCAATACGCCTCTGGCCAACCAGGAACTTGCTTATGAAGTCTCGTTCAAATGCAAGTCTCACCTGAACAAAGCCTTTGCAAAGTTTGCCTCTAATTAAACATCTTTTCTCTGAGAAATTGACAGGAGGTGTGTTAAATTCGTAAATTTGCCATCAATTTCTGTAACTTCAAGCAGGGTTGCCACAATCAGGGAATATCGGGAAATGTAAGCGAATTCATAAGTCATGGAAAACCTAGCAGTATCAGGAAAAAATTGTTATGTCGCCTGTATTTGCTTTATAAAATGGGTTGGACATTTCGAACACTAGATTTTGCGTGAAAACTATCTCAAAATATCCCTCTTTAACCATCGGGTGTATCTTCAATTGCCAGGGAAACTTACCAAAATGTGACAAGAAAATTAGGGAATTTCATTTTCTAAATTTTGTGGCAATCCTGTCTACGAGGCACGTAACTTTAAGCGTCATTTTTTTCACTGAATCTGGGAGCTTATTCATCCAGTCCTGTTTTGCTCTTAATTTTATTTTGAGCAGCTATTCTGACGTTAAGTGAGTTAAACACTTAAATTTATCGATCTTAATGTGTCTTTTTCTTGCTTTCATCTAGAAGGGTTCTTTAAAGTGTGACCAAGGAAATTATTTTTTTCTGGAAATAGAAGGTACTGAGGTGCCATTTAAAATAAAGAAAGCAATGTCATGTAATTGAGGGCTGGGACGTCAAGAAAAAGGCGGATTAGAATCTCCAGAAGTATCTTATAATAGCAATTTATCACTGGTTTTTAAATTGTTGTATTAAAGTTTGCTGTGCTAATAGCTGATGAATCATATTCCTGAATTCAGGGAAAAATCATATAGAAGGAAAGTTGTCTCCCCTATCGTAACAGCGCGAGTTGGATTGTTTCGTTGCATTAAACTTAAGCATCTCATTGTTGAAATCCAATACAGCTGTTCTTTTTTAAATATATTAGGATCCACATAATGTAACAACTTTTGATTCATGTTTCAACATCTTCAATTTTAGGTATTTTTGGGCAAATTTGCTGTAAAACGTCATAATTTTAAGATTGCCTTTTATTGGTTCGTCTGATGTTTCCACTGGTTAAGAACAACAGGCAGTAGTTGCACATAGTACTTATTATGCAAGTCTCGTCTAAGAATGTTTCATGTGTCTTCGTTTTTGAGAGAATGCTCAAGAAAATTTGTGGAACTTGTTTCTTACGTCAGACTATGTAGAAAATTTTAAGATTTTCGTTTTACAATATAACTAAGTCAAAGTTGCATGAAGTTGCAAATCGATTGTGTCATCAACGCATCGATGGCCCAAGTGCAAAACCACGTATCTTGGTTGCAGCGTTCCAAAATCTCTGCTCCTATTTAATTTTTTGAAGAGAAACAAGCCATTTTCATTTTAGAGATTATTTCCAGATTATTTTGCGAACAGAGGAGAAAATTAAGGAAGTTTTCAAGGAATTACGTTGACTAGTTTTCCACTAAAAATTAAGTATGACAGGAAGTCTGCAACGTTGCCAACAGAGATACGTTGTTTCGGATTTTAGCCATTGATACGTTATGAACATCCAGGAGTTAGATTTTAATGTCTCGCGTCAATTCATTCCGTGTGTTTTATCTAGATTCTGCTTTCAGAACGTATTTTACTCTATTTTCTCTGACTTATTTTATTTCCAAATCAACGTATTTTATTTATATTGTTAGACTTTTGTATCATACTGTTCTCGCTCTATTTCTGAAGGGAAAAAAATTAGAATTCTATTTTGCATATCCAATATGTATTGTATGATCCGTACCTAAAATCATATTCCATTGTATAGAATTTCAGCTTCTTTTATTTTTATCCGAGGTGGAAATTTTGTTTCAAATTTTACCCGTTGTTAATTCATGTATGTAGGTTTATTTATTTTTTAGTTTTCTATTTGTTAAGTGTTGGATTGAAATTTGTTATGACATCCTGTTTCCATAGACACTCAGAAGTCTTTTGCGCAAGTTCATCGTTTCCCAGGCTTAGGAATGTAACTCTATTCCAAGATTGCAAAATATACTTGAACAGTCCAATTTTTCAAATGAATTTGAATGAGCACTTTCTGTCCAAAATTTTGCTAATTTTAGCGGCGCGTCCTGCCTCACGATGCATTGATCGATCTACAATGTAAACTTCCGGAAAAAGATTGATTATCAGGATGTTAACAATGAACACATTTCTAATTGATTCTTTGCCGTAGCTTAAAATGGGAAAGTATTGATAGTTATTGATCAATGCTTTGCCTTTGCAAGAAAAATCAGTTTAATTTTTAGCTAAAAATTACCAACAGTTTCCTGATATTAATACAATTGAGCTCTTGCATGTTGCAAGAATTTACCATTTAAGCACTTTTCCTTCTATAAAATTTTGAAAAAAACTTGATGGTGCCATGGTGTTTCTCTGAAACGAATTTTCACGCTCAAAAGAAATCTTCTCTATCTTGAAGTTGAAGCAGTAATGGGGAGGATCCCCCAATGGCACCATCGTGTTTCTCATAAAAGTTTATGCAGGATAAAATACTTTAAGTGGAAATCCCCTAGACTTATAAAAGCTTCATTTGAGTATCAAAATTTTGCAACATTGAAATGTAGCTACATTCTTTTGTTTTGAAAACAATGAATTATGGTCAATTCAGATTAATCAGTTCGAAAACACTCTTATTTTAAATGTCCTGTTAATCCAAAAGCAAGAAGTCATAGGATTGAAGTGAGAACGTCTAAGGAAAAAGAGCCTAGAAAAATTCGATGCCAAATTTCTTTGGGGCCCTAGAACTATAAAATAAAGAAAAAATTTCATTAGTTTTACAGAGCTTGTTTGAATTTTTCTCAATTTTTTTTTATTCGACATTCATTTGCGTCTCCAACAATCGTTATCTCTTCAATGATCTCACATTTTTCTAGACGACTACAACAGGCAGGAATCAGGATTTAAAATTTTAAAGCAGGTCTTTCAACTCAATTCGAAAAGTGAGAAGCTTTTCATATGCATTTTTGTTATGTTTTGAATGGAAGATAAGTTATATTTCTTGACAAGTCTCATTTGCACCCTGTAATGCAAATACTGACTGGAACCCCTAAAATTCTACTATTTTTTATGTAGGTAATCAATGAATCTTCAACCATTTTGTGCTTCATCAGGATATAAAAGGCCACCATAAATTTTTTTATTTGAGTTGTGAGAATTTTAAGACCAAAAATCTTTGTAGTGTAGTAATCGGATCTAAGTAAAAGCTTACAAAGAAACCATAATTTTCAGGTTTCAAGGTTTTAATTTCCTTTCGGTCTAAGAAATTCTTCTCTCCTCACTTTGTGTTTTTCTTCCTCGCTTACATTTACAGTTTCTCAAAACTATTTAGTAGGGTGTGACAATTTAAATTCATTCATAAATATATCTTTGGAAAAAAAAATAAAGTAAAAAAAGCTATTAGTATTTTTTTTGTCCTGTCAGTGTTTGCAAAAGTCCACAACAGAACCGGTTCTGTGACTCTATGGAAACTGACTCACTAAACCCTGTGAAGGTTTTGATCAAAGGGGTTTTAGGCAATATTTGCAAATCATGTGGTTCGGTAGCATAAGACTTGTCTTTCAGCATGTTCAATAAAGTGTGCAAAGATTTAGTCTGAAGTCTTTTCCAAAGTCGTAAATGTTTGACTTTAGTTAAATTTTAACGTTTAAGTTTTTATTAGTGTCGTGTAAATATGTTCTTATTTTAAGGAAAGAATAAATTGTTTATTGTTTTGTTAGAGGTTCAGCACTTGGCATGAAATTGGAAATAATATTAATAAAAAAAAGGAAAAAAGTTCTCAACTGTAAGCCTCTATTTTTCAACTACCTCTGACTCCTACAAGACCCTGTCTAACCATGAAAATAGTGAGCTTTTGACATGGATTTGCTCAAATTTTTCCCGTATTGAAATTACTGGGCGTGCACAGACCTGGAAAACTGAGAATTTATTAGGTCAGGAAAATCAGGGAAAGGTCAGGTTATCTAAAAACTTGAATCTTGAACTCTAAAAAACATTAGAACTTAAGTTTGACAAAGTTGTAGTTTTGCTCAAAGTTCAATGCTCAGGATTACAAATCAGGGTTAATACCTGTAGAAAGAAGGTTCACATATTTCTGTCGTTTGCCTTGTCTGCAGCTTTATGCGAGGTGATGGTCAGTGAAAATTCAGGGGATCATTTGGCCGAGAAAAACCAGGGAATAACCAGGGAAAAGGTGGGGAATATTTTCCAGCTAAGTCTGTAGAAACGCTGAATTATGTTTTGCTGTAGTTTATGTCTTTCTTGTTCATATTAGTGTTGGGTGACTTCAGCAATAAACTGATGTAGTGAATATGTCATTCAATATTTGATACATTCTATGGTTCCACCCAGAACAAATGAATTGTTTTAATATTGATCGGTTTGCTGTGATTTTAAGGGCAGCACAGTTTAATAGGGAATATCGAATGACGTAGCCTCTAGATCAGTCTATCTCCAGCGCACAGCACCAATTCAAATTCCTCTGAAAAACAAAAGAAAAAAACATTTGGAAATGCTAGTGCAAAAAATTTTACTTATTTTTAGAACGAAAAGTGAGCTAGCATTTATTTTCTTCTTAAGAATTCCCTATCTTCATTTGAATTTCATTAGTAAAATATTAATTGAATCAATTAATAAAATCAGTATGGAGTTCATAATTCCAAATCATTAAGGTAGCATTGAAGGAAGTCCAAACCATGTAAAGTTTATATAACCTATGGCTCTCTTAAAAGAGACTGAATTTTTCACTGTCCGAAATAGGACTAATTAAGAAAAAAATTACTCAAATCAATCCTGAAAAAACGAAAAAATGTATCCTCTAACAGGATAGTACTGGTAGTTCGCCTTAAATAAAATAAGCAACAAATGGAATAGGCTACGCCACAATAAAAGACCGGTGAGCTAGATGGATACTATTGAGTGGTAAAATCTGAAACCCTGCGCATAATTGGATGATTTTAATCAGAATCATCCCGACTGCATTTCGTGCTGCCTGATTTCTTTCCAAGTTTTATTTTTTGATAGAGAACCAAACCATAATGTCTGGAAAATCTTCGGGTTTTTCCTTTGGAACATCTTAAAGAATATATTCGCAAAATGTCAAGTCAGAATGTAGATCATTTTTCTGCTAAAAAAATATAATACCAGAGGATATTAGTTAACGTCTAATGTGCATAAGGTTGATTATAGTTAAATCTTTTCAATGTAGGACGGCTGTTCTTATGGCTAAAACTGCGACTATTTTCCCTATCTAGCTCTATGAGGACTTTTCTTACCTGTAGAAGAACTAAATTTAAAAATAACTTCCAACTATTATTATTATTATAAATAATAACTAGGGGCCTGAGGCCGCTACGCGGCCGCTAAACGCTGAAAGGGAACTGCTCGTAAGAAATCATAGAACAACCGCGTTCTAGTTATTTATTATAATAGACCACTAGACAAGGTAAGAATTTAAGCCATCTGATACATGTTTCTCAATCAGAATTTCACGTAGAACACGATTCACACAACGAAAATTACTGAAACCAACTCCGAACGAAGATATTAACGTTTTTATTTCTCATTGGCTACGAGGAATTTCAACTGCCCGCTCACAAGAAACTCAAAGCTCTACGCGCGTCAAATCGTGCATTACATCGGTTTCAGCAAGCTTCTCAATTGAGCAATGTTTATTTCCCACCATGTGTTGTTCAAACTATTAGCAATTTGCTATAGCTGAGCTAAAGCGTCAAGATTGAGGTTGTCAGATTTTTATATCGCAGAGACTGTCATACGTTTAGCGCGTGATGTGAATCACGTAGAGCATTGAGTTTTCATGAGCGGGTGGTTTGTATTCACGCAGCAAGAATCATTAAATATCTTCGTAAGGAGTTGATTTCAGTAATTTTCGTTGTGCGCATCGTGTTCTACGTGAAATTTAGGTTAAGAAGCATGTATCAGAATGCTAAAATTTGCACCTTGGCTAGTGGTCCATTGAATAGCAACTTGAATTGATAATAAATTTTGAAAGAAGATATAACATGCTCTGAAATTTTGGAAATTGAAATTGGAATTTTGAATTTATCATCATTTAATAACAATTTAAATTTATAATCTGGAAAAATTAAATTATTCCGGAAAATAATTTCGGACTTTTAAATGTGAAGTGCCAGTATTGTGATGCCTTGGATCTCAAAAAAGAGGAGGTGAACGGCTATTTTAACAGATGTTGTCATAATGGTCTTCTCAGACTTGCCGAGCCTGGAATCAATGACCAACTTCGCGACCTCTTCTCCGAACCCATTTTCATGACCAGCATTTTGAGGTACAACAGTTGTATGGCTTTTGAATCTCTGTCTGCTTCCAAAGCTCATATAATTTTGAACCAAATCTTCTGCAATCGAATACGAAAAATGATGGAGAATTTAAATTTTATGTTGACCAGCTTCTCGATAGAAACATAAAATTTCTTAGGTTGTCTGCTACGTCGAAAAAGGAGAAACGTAGTCTCTCATTTTGCCCAAAAATATGTAAGGTGAGGTTGGGTAACTGGGCGGTGGGGTAACTGGGCAGTGCCCTCTGTATTTCTACCAGATTAGTGCAAAAATTGTTTTCACTGTTGGCATACCTTCATTATGACGTAAACCATCTAGAACATGTAAACATAACTTCAAAAAAAAATTTTATGGTGAATGGTGAAGTGCCGAAAATTGGACAGCTTTTTTTTCAAAACAACGCCGGAGGTGATCCCGAAAAGAGCCTCATATCTCACTCCCAGCAAGTATTTTATTCAACTTTGACAATTCTTCTTCATGTATGATGTATTTGTGTAATGCGTGAGTAATTACAACATAATTGGATGAAAATACTGGCTGCAAAGGGTTGATGCCCAGTTACCTTGAAAATTTTCCCTTTGTGGGGTAACTGGGCACCCACCCCAAGGTAACTGGGCAGGTGGCAGTGGTGGCACCTGCCCAGTTACCCATTGCAAGGTTGCTGTGCTTCGGTGTTTGTTTACTTCTGAAAATGTCAAAACTAATTGACTATTGTGGACTTTTAAGTGCCAAAGACCAATAATCAGGGTTCCCAGCACACTAAACTTCTAACTTAAGTCAATTATAGCATAACTTAAGCATTACTTAATTACATTTTTGCCGCTAACTGTTATGACAACACTTTTAACGACTTAAACATGGTTATATAAATTCAAATGAAATTCTCTGAAACCCTCATGAGAAGGACATTCTTTTCTGGCCAATGAGAATTACAAATAATGCCCCCCTTAAAAATTAAGGGAACTTTTTGGCGCCTGACTCTATCCCAGATCAGCCTTGCGGCTTAATTTTTTTTCATTTTTTAAAAATGTATCATGCTTAATCTCACTAAAAGTGGCCAAACAGTGTCCTGGTATACAATACTACTTTATAAGTAGTAATACAGGAAGTTCTAAGCATTTATCTACAAGGAAACAATTTTTTTTTACCGTTATTCAATTCTCAGATTTGATGGTTTTTTTGCCGCTAACTGTTACGACATCATTCTTAACCACTTAAACATGTTTATATACATTCAAATGAAATTTTCTTAAACCTTCATGAGCAGGACATCACTTTCTGGCCAATGAGAATTAAAAATAATGCCCCCCTCAAAAATTAAGGGGGGGTAGTCCAGTTACCCCACGACGTTGGGTAACTGGGTGAAAAAAACGGGAAATTTTTGAAAATTTGTGGGAAAAAATTGAAAGATGAAATTCGACTTTTGACTCTTCCTACATTTAGACAAGGTGTTGTACTTACTAAAAAAAATTTAAAAGTAGCCTCCACTGTCAATATAATGATGGGAAAAAAATCATGAAGTTGAAATTTTGACATTTTTCTCCGAACTCCTGCCCAGTTACCCAACCTCACCTTATGTATTAAATTGAAGGCATTATGACTGGCCTCTCTCAACTTATATTCGTATGTAACGATAAACAATGGGACGTGTTTGCTACGGCGCCTTGATACAACCATACAACCTCGACGGATGTCCGTATTGCGTTCAAAAAATTGAAGGCGTTTTGACTGCCTGCTCGTACTACCTGTAGTTGATTCGGGCGACAAACGCGTTGGTCGGCGGTGACGGGGACTTGATGCATTTTTTTAAACTTGATGGATGTCCGTATCCCGCCCAACACGAAAATGTTTCCAAAATATTGCAGCAACATTGTTATTATATTTTCGACAACATTGCTGCAATATTGTCACAATATTGTCACAATATTGCAGCAATGTGCTAGGGTCCTACCTAACAATATTGTTGACAACATTGTCGGGAACGTTTTGGCAACATTGTCTGCAATGTTGCCAAAACGTTGCCAACAATGTTGTCTCTACAACATTGCTAAAAACATTGTTAACAATATTTCATGGAAATTGTTTCATGGGAATTGTTTCAATATTTCATATGTTGGTGGAAATGTTTTTGAGAAAATGTTGTTTTGGAACATTTTTATAAGTGTTGCGAAAATGTTGCAAAAATATTTTTCAAAAAGTATTTCAAAAATGTTGTTGAAAAATGGCCCTGCATGAGTAGGTGATTTGTGATAAAACTTTTAAAAACTCTTATGTAAAATAATGCCAGAACTTCCGATGGTACCACTGGTTTCGTGCATTATCAATTCTTACGCAGAGAAGAAGATCTCCAAGCTGGGCTGTAACAAAAGTTTTTTTGTAAGTTTATGGCTGAGTCCCGAGTTGAACATTCCCATAAACTTTAAAAATAGAGGTTCATTACAGCCCAACTTGGAGAACTTTTTTTGTGTTTA